CGTCTGTCGAGGTTGCACCTGCCCTTGGCAGTGACGTTCTAAAGGATAGGAAGTACGAGCTAGCTTTCCTATTCGAGACCGCTCCCTATCTCTGCTCCATGCTACTAGCCCCAAGGATGACCTAGACGCTCTTGTCATACTGACCCCTCGCACCTACGTTGAGGGGACTTCGAGACCCTGTGCCTCTCAGTAAATTGATGCAGGGGATGCAGAGATGGCATCTTGGAGATCCACCGGCACGTACGTTGATGCAGTTCTCCCACGTGGGGCGAACGTAGTCGATGGCTAGTGGCTCTTCGAGGTCAAGCGCCCTCCTGGAAAGCTGCCAATGTTCAAGACGCGCTACGTTGCTAGAGCGTTGCCTTCTTTCAGACCTTCGCCACAACACCAAAGATGACCACTCTTCGGGCGTTGCTTCACGTAGCAGCACATCGCGACTACGAGCTTAACTCACTGTAGGACCTTGTTCATCCACTATGATTTTTTTGCCCTTTCCCTTCTAGGACCCAGTGATTCCTTCGCCGCCCAGTTTACGGTCTGCGATAGGCGCTACAAGAGTTGCACGACACGCTGCGTACTACATTCGCAGACCTTCCGTTCTTTCCGTCCTAGGCTGTCTTGTCGTTCTTCGTTCGCTTAGGCTAGACTCCGTTCTACACCATAGTCTATGCAGACGACCTGGTCTCGCTACTGGAGACAGAGACACGCTGGCCTGGGTTAAAACCAAGCTGCTGAGAAGACATACCTGCACTGACCTAGGAGAGCCGCGCCGCTACGTTAGGCTGCAGATCTCCAGGGATAGAGCAACGTGCACCATCACTCTCTCACAGTCCCACTTGGTGGGCCAGGTCCTTCAAATGTTCGGCCTTTAGTTCTCCTCCGCATAGCCCACCACTCTGCCAATCGACCATAGGCGCACAACTACGGTCCCCAATGAGCGCGTCGAGCCTAGTGGTCAGTACGTAGAACTTGTGGGCCGCCTCATGTACCTGATGACTTGCACTCGTCCAGATCTCGCATACCCTTTTAGTATCCAGTAGCTCCTCATTTGCTAGGAACCTGGCTTGTGTACTACTCCAGAGATTATCTTGACTGGCCTTGTGGTTCTTGTCTCAACGATAGGACTAGTAGTGCCGCCCTGAGTTACACTTGTTTTGTTTGTACTCTTGCGGACTGGTCTTCGGACCCCTACCTTAGAGGTTGGACAAGTAATGCCGCCATGAGCTACGTTTTCTTGCTAGGCACTGCCCCTTATCTAGCCTACGGGATGTGTCAACATATACATATGCTTTATATGTAGAAGCTATAAACTAGATAGGCTTGTGTTCTTAGAGGGTACGACATTAACCCTATACGATCCCATATTTTTCAGTGTTTTAGTCACTGTGCTACTCTAAGACTATTTTTAGACGAATCTCTTTCAGACTCGTGTTGGACCATTTGGAACCACACTAAACCATGTCATGTCAAGATTGTGATGTACAATACCGGATGCGTCTTATAAAAAATGCAAGTAATCCGAAGAAGGTCGTCAGATAGCAGTTTGGGAACAGAAAGGCAGGCAGCAACCCATACAGAATGGTGTCCATCGGTCCCAAAGGTGGGGAAGTTGGGGAAGGGAACACTGTATGCTATCCGGCATTGCATATACTGTTTTGCTCGGGGAATGTCGACTTGTCATTGTGCCATAATCACGACATTATGTGTACTTCATAATCGACTTAAGAAAAGTATTTGTTATGGGTTGGGGTGGGATGTGTGAAAAAATAAATCGTCATACCGATTTAAGGTTTGTATTGTAATTCTCCACAACTCTTAAAGCTATTGACCCAAAACATACAAGAACAGGGGCGTGGAGTAGTGGTGTGAGGGTGGCGAGAGTGGGCGAACTCAGCATGTTATGAACGCTAAGTTAGATACAGTAGGAAGAAAGGCGGCCATGGAATGGGGTGAGGTTTAGGAGCTAGGCGGTGAGAGTTGATGAGAGAAAAGAGAGAGAGACTAGAAAGAGAGAGGGATACAAGGAGGGGATTATACCCTCTACAGTAGGGTTCGAGAAACCTACCAAGTCTACCAATTATATAACAAAATATATAATTTAACACACCCCCTAGGCTTGGTAGTAGAAGCACCCACCCACACCCATGCCCCCTAACCTAGCATCCCCATTCCCAGCAGCAGCCATGACTACTCCGGTAGGGCCAACCCCACGGCCCGTAAGATGGCAACGGTGGCAGCGGCGACGGTTACGACAGCGGTGGCGGTGGCGACGTGCGGCGGCAACAAGCCAGCGGCGTCAGCGGCGGCGGCGGCGACTTCGACGACAGCGGTGACTGTAGCGGCCCCCGCCCTCTCGGCAGCATGGCCAAGCTCCGCGACGGTGGGACGGCCGGCGGGAGTCAGCCGTTGGCTGCGGCGAGGAAGAGGACGTAGGAGAAGGGGGGCGGGGCGCAATCTTGCTTCACGCCCGAGGCTGGCGTGCGGGCGGCAGATCTGGCGGCGCCACGAAGGTTGCGCAGCCGGCTGCCGCTCGGCGATGGTGCCACTGCAGCATTACGACGCCACCACAATGCGGCGTCGACGCTGCGACGGTAGCACGACTCCGTCGCAGCCGTGTGGCGTCGACGCCACGCGTCGGGGCTGCGACGCCAGCACCACGACGCCACTACGGAAGCTCGGAAAGGCCGCCACGGCGGCACGAAAACGATGACAGAAAACAAGCGAGTACGCGGCGGAAGCGTGGGGAGCAGGCCCGGGAAGGGCGACCTGCTCTGTTACCATAATACGAATGCTAAGCTAGCTAGGAAGAACGGCGGCCATGGTATGGGGTGAGGTTTAGGAGGTAGGAGGTGAGAGTTGACGAGAGAAAAGAGAGAGAGACTAGAAAGAGAGAGGGATAAAAGGAGGGGATTGTACCCTCTACAATAGAGTTCGATAAACCTACCAAGCCTACAAATTATATAGCAATATATATAATTTAACAGAGCACACTACGAAAACCAAGCAGAACGAGCATACAAACTATGGCAGAACCAAAACATCCGCAAACAACGATTGGGAGAAGTTGAGGGCGGGGAAAGGGAAAGCATGGGCGTGCGGAAGGCGCAGGGGGGAGTGAGGGAAGAATACCTGGCCAGAGCAGCGCACGGCGTGCGAAGATGTTGCTTTGTTAGGGCGTGATTTATTGCTTCGTTCCAATCATTGTTTCCTGGTTTTGTCAGTTTTATAATTAGCCACGAAATTGTTGGTGCCATTTTTCCGTAGCAGGTCACCACTGCAATGCAACTACATAATTGTATTGAACACGGCTCCCATGGCATGACTGTGGGCTGGGTTTTTGCGCTCTGCAAGTCCCAAATTGTATGCACGCGCTTTCAAGTTTCATGCTGCTCAATTGCCAGGTATGTCGGGGGTTGGTGCGGAATATGTTGGGGGTGGCACACGCGCTGCTTCTGAACCCCGCCGTTTTGGGCTGCGAATTCAATTGCAATTCTCACTTTGGGGTACTGGGTTACCACTCGGGGGTGTTCAAGGTTAATAATCTTGAAACACTTTTTCTGGGATTTGGGTCAACGGCTTTAAGAGTTGAAGATAAGTGGCCCTTCATAAGGCTCTTTTTATAAGGTCACTATATAATATATATGCAATTTTTCTCAAATCTCACCTACATGATCCATACACCGAATATTGTGTTTTGTTGAATCTTGTACAGCAAGACACGCCCTCATTGCGTGTCCGTGGCAGCGTACTGTGCCGCTGGAATGGATGGGCTTTGCATGAGGGCACTAGGCCTAGGGATTCTGTTAGTGGGCGGATTCGACCCCAGAATAGCGGACGGAACCTGAGGAAAAGTACCCGTAGGCAATCGAATTTGTCAAAGAGCTGCCCTTGGAGTTATGCTGTACTAACAGAATAACAGGCACAGAGGCTTCGCCATGGCTAAGGTAGGAACCGAGGGCATCCGCAGGGGTATGAGGTGCGTTGCGTACCCCTCATACTTTGAATCGGACGGTCGGGAGAATATCAAAACTTCCCGCCACCTTGCCTCTGGGACAACAAGTGGGCAGGAAACTGCTCTCTTGGCTTGCAAGTGGAGGGGCGTACGTGAGGGGAGGGTTTCAAAGAAAAATGCCTCGTAATGCCAAGGAAGGACACTGAATCCAATTCTTTAGGTGGACGGATTTAGGGAAAAAAAGGAACGGGTTTCCAGCCGGAAACGACCCTTATTTCTCAACATTTAGGGTGATTCCTCTTTCCGGGGAGCCTGGTTCTGCACTATCTCTGCACCGCACCAGCCGCTCTTTACCTGAGGGCGTGTCCAGCGCGCACGTTTAGCGTACAAGGGGTCAGTACAGACGAAGCATAGTTAACAGTGATTTTCACCCGTATGCGGACTACGGTTCTAGATACAAAAAAAAAGCGTGCGGTGTACTCCACCTGTACTGTCGGGTGAAAACGAAAACGGGCGAAAGCGTACCGAGGCACGTCTGGTTATCGCTCCGCGTCCGCAGAGAGTCGAAACCACAAATCCTTTACGTCATGCGCGAAAATGCCCTGCACGAACATCTGGACCATTGGCCGACGAAATTTTCTGTTTGGTTGTGCGCATCCACACGGGAGTTATTCGCGCATTCACCAGGGTCCTGCGTTTCGGGGACACACGACATGACGTTGACACTCGACGGTACAATTTTGTGGCGTTTTGTACCTAATCCTTCCAAAGTCCGAAATGTACGCGCTGGACAACAGTGACTTTGCCCAACTGAGACGACAAGATATTGTACAGCTGCCCGGGGGAATTCAATGCTACAGTTCTACGAAATTTACTCCATCAATCCCTTCTGACATATCGCACTCGGTCTTTCTGGTCGGACCGTAAGTGTGCCCTGCCGAACCTCTCTCCTCCCTTGTGCCACGTTGGGGCTCTCATACATACTCTGTCTGTTGTCTTTCTATGCGAATCACGAAATGATAAGACTGGCTGCAGGTGAGAAGTTGGAACGCCAATGAGATCCGAGTGTCTAGAGGGTTTCCGAACAAAACCATCAGATTCGGCAGTTATCAGGGCAATCCCTCTTGTTTTTGGCTTTCTTCAACCTTCCTCACGACGACCATATCCCTATGAAAGTCTGGGTGGACCATCCCTCCGGAATTTTACCTTGGGTTTTGTCAACCATTGCCACACACTGCTTCTTTCTCACCTCAGTTAGATTATTTCAGGACATCGTCCGTCAGGGTTCCGTTGCGGTTTGAATGACACCCGTTACAGTACCACGCCATGGATTGCACGGCAATGGCGGCTTGCGTTGGAAGGCATCGGGATGGGTTTCGAACTCTGAGCCAAGACAGCATCTCCTTTTGCAGTGAGAGCGCTGCTGAGGAAACAACGACGGCGAACCCTGATTCATCAGCTCACGAAGCGAATCACGAGACGCCGTCAAACGGGGATGTCGAAACGGAGCAGGGTTGCGAAGGCTTACTAACCGGGCGAAAGGAGGCAGTCGACTACGAGGTCGCGTGTTACCCGTCGTTGAATATCAGCGGATTTAAGTCTCAGGAGAAACGGCGATCATTAGGTATTCTAAGGACGTCTACGACTGCGGGTGACGATCCGTCTAGCGTCACGTCTCACGCTTCAAGTGCACCAACGCAGGCAGCAGGGCCGGGCGTGGTTTTCGCTTGCTTCGGAGTCAACGGGACCCGCTCCGGCGGCGAATCAGACGAGGAAGACGACACGGAAGGCGAGGCGAGGGAGGAGAGAAGGGAGGACGCTAGGGAAGCGGGAAGGGAAGACGCGAGGGATAGCGCGGAGTGCGGAAACCAGTGGGAGAGCGCGAGGGAGGATCGGAGTGAACCGCTGCATTTGGCGGATGCCGAGGGTCATGACGACGACGATGGCCCCGGGTATGACTCGAATCCGGAGGAAGACGAGGCCGAGATGGCCAAGATGGAAAGAGCCATGTCGGACGAGACGATGGCGGACGATGCGAAAGGGCCGCAGCGGCAGTCATGGCTATCGAGCGTGGAGTGGTTCGTGTCGTGGCCGCTGCGGCGACTCAGCCACAAGTGGAGACTGGTACGCCGTACTTACCGAGGTGACTCTTGAGTCCACTCAAAAGGCAGTCATGGCTGTCGAGCGTGGAGTGGTTCGTGTCGTGGCTGCTGCGGCGACTCAGCCACACGTGGAGACTGTTACGCCCGGAATACCGCTACTGCGCGACTAGTGCTAGGTGAAGGTGTCGTGCTTAGTGTCCTGTAGTATCGTCGCTGTATCATCGCATGCAGCCTGTGTCGTCGCATGCAGCCTGTGTCGTCGCAAGCAGCCTGTGTCGTCGCGTGCAGCCTGTGTCGTCGCGTGCAGCCTGTGTCGTCGCACACAGCCTGTATCAATTGATCCGCCAGCTTTTCTCTGCCCTCCCAGCCTCCAACCTTCCACCCCGTCAACCTCCTTGTCCCCTTTGAGTCGACTCAAAAGAAAATCCGGCTTCCTAGCCTTCCGACATCCCAGCCCACGCAAGCGCTCCCCGCAGCCCCTTAGATCCTTCACTCCAATCCCACGCCCTTCATTCCAATCTCACCCCCTTCATTCCAATCCCACGCCCTTCATTCCAATCTCACCCCCTTCATTCCAATCCCACGCCCTTCATTCCAATCTCACCCCCTTCATTCCAATCCCACGCCCTTCATTCCAATCTCACCCCCTTCATTCCAATCCCACGCCCTTCATTCCAATCTCACCCCCTTCATTCCAATCCCACGCCCTTCATTCCAATCCCACGCCCACCCACCCACTCTTCCCACCTTCCTTGCGCACGCACCGCCGCCGTGCGTCCCGCGCCCTATTTCCCCAACCGGAGTCTGTTCCGAGTTCGGCTGCTGCTGGCCGTAGGATCCCCGACCATCGCGTTGGTGGTATCGTCACAGCACTCGATGCGGAATGGGAGTGACAACTTGGCGGAGTCCTCCACCTCCCCCCTCCCCTCTCCCCCAGCCACTCCCCCCCCCTCCTCCCCCTCTCCCCCGCTCCCATTCCGCCCAACTCCCCCCCCACCCCCCTTCCCCCCAGCCACTTCCCCACCGTTTGTTCTGCGTGTGGGAGCTGCTGGCTACGGTGGTACACAAAAACGGTGGTGGTGACGTAAAAAACCAAACCCTACAAGTGTCGGTGATGACGTCGCAGAGCACTGCGCCCTGCTTCACTCCTCTTCTCCCTCCCCCCCCCACTTCCACCCCCCAGCGTCTGTTCTGGGTGTGGGTGCTGCTGGCGGCGGCGATCCTGGCGCTGGTGTTCGCCATGGCGTGGCAGCACTCGCTGTGGGGCGAGAGGGACGACGTGGCGGGGCACTGTGAGGAGTGGGCGGCGTTCATCGAGGGCAAGTTCAACACTACTGCCGCCAACACACGCTCCATAGCTGACTTCATCCGCGCATACTACCTCGATAAGTGAGTGCCAGAGAACCTTTTGAGTCGACTCAAAGGAGCACTGCAGTCTGCAAGCACTGTTAGTGAGGGGTAGGGAGTGGGCGGCGATCATCGAGGGCAAGTTCACTGCTGAATTCATCGGCGCTTACTACCTTGAGAATTACGGAGACACAGACATTCAAACCTGAATTGCCGTGGTAAATTTTGAGTCGAATCAAAAGGCACGGCACTGTGGGGTGGGGAGCGGGCAGCATTCATCGAGGGGAAATTTAGCACCACTGCCGCCAACACGCGCTCCAACCCTAACTGTATCCGCACTTTTACCTCAATAAATGCCTCCAGTTTGATGTCTCTCTCCTCAAGAAATTTGCGCTCTCATAATTTTTAACTCTCCCATTGGTGACCCCCGTCCACAAACCCCCGTTACCCCTTCCCCCCCACCCACTGCCACCCCCCTCCCCCTGCTTCCTCTATCTCCTCCCTTGCACCACCCGCTGGCCAATCAGCTCGAGGGAGAGCTTCCTTGATGTGGCAAAATTCCAACGGTTCACTCAAGCCACATTCCCCCCTTCTCACTTTCCACTTCGCCTTCTCACCTTCCCCCTCTCTCCCCCCTTCCTCACTTTCCTCTCCCCCCTCCCCACCCTCCCCCGGCCAATCAGCATGAGGGAGAGCTTCCTTGACGTGGCGAAATTCCAACGGTTCACTCAAGCCACACTCAACGGGTTACCCATGGCGTCATGTGAGGCACATGCATGTGACCCATGGCATCATGTGAGGTACATGCATATAACCCATGGCATCATGTGAGGTACATGCATATAACCCATGGCATCATGCGAGGCACGTACACACCATGTGAGGCACATGTGATCTGACCCATGGCATCATGGCAGTCAGGATCTGACCGGCCCATGGCATCACGGCTGTTTTTCGCAACAAGACCACAGGTGTGAGCATGGATGGTTTTTCCACACCCTGGAACTGGCTCAAGGCGTCTCCCAAGACACATTTCTACACGCCACTCCACCCCTCTCCACCTACACCGTCTCCAACCATTCCGCCCCATCCAATTTTGAGCTTCACTCTCCTCATGAACAATCACTACCATGGGGGAAATAGTGGAAAGCGGGAGGCGGGCCACTGCACTGCATCTACGGTGCCATGGCACGGGCCCCAGCCAACGGAACCGTGGGGTGCCTAGCACAGTCTCCTTCCTGCTTCTTTCCAACCCGTTTTCCCCAGTCCTGAGCTTAATCCTGCTGGTGAGGAGCTATGTTGCTCTAAACGCGTTTAGGGTATGAAACGCTAGCGTTTTTACGCTAAACACAAAGTTCTGGGGTCCTAAACGCAAGCCCTGGCAGGGGTGAAAAAAATGGGGGGAGGGAGAGAGGGGGGGAGTGTTTCAGAAGCATAGTTTTTTTTTTTTTTTTTTTTTTTTTGGCAGATTTTCAAGTTTAAGCATGCCCTCCCCCCTTCTACTCCAATTGCTGCCATATGCCTGCCGTTCCTCCTCCCGCATGTCGCCCGCATCCTTCTCAGGGGTTGACATTAGCGTAAGTCTATAACTTACCAGAAAACAACGACCTAAGCTACGAGATGGAGGAGAGATGGCTAGCTAGCGGAATTTGCGTGAGGTATGGTGCGCGCTGTTTTAGGTCTTGCGCAACTGACGCGGAGGGAAGTGGTTGGGGGAGAAGAGCATTTGTGAGGCTAAGTGGGCAAATTCGTTGGGGTCCCCCAGCGTTTTGCGTAAATTCGTAAGCGTAAATTCGCAAACGCGAATTTACCTGAAATTCGCGAAACGCTGGGGGAAATTTTTCGGGGCAGCCCGGACAAAAAAACACGAATTTCCCAACTTGATTCGCAGCGACTTGGCGAAGCCATCCGTGGCCTCGCCAATTCGCGATTCTAACTTTTGAACCTCCAAACATGCTCCCAACCCCTCCCACGCTCCCAACCGCATCAAACCCCACCGCATCTAGAGAACCCAACCCATCCACCACCCAACTTACGCAACCATATCACGCACGCATCTCACTCGCTACTCTACCAGACGTAGAGTAGATCTAGCTTATCACTCCGCGTCATAGCTAGAAGATCTAGTTTTAAGCATAGACATTAGCTTACCTCATGAGTACGGTTCATCATCTTGCTGTAGGTTGCTGCAGGGCTGTTAATGCAAAGGATAACTCTAGAACATGCGATTGCCATAAACTTTCAGAAGCAATTATAATTTCCTGCTAAAACTTTCTTGCCTAAAAAGAGTTGCTCTGAAACCCCCCACGACCCCCTACCTGGGGACTTTTTTTGGGCCTGCCCGAGCATTTTTTTCCTGCCCGGGCGGAACGAATTTCCCAACGAATTCAAAACAGGGCCCTGGCGTTCGGGCGAATTTACTCCAGCGTAAATTCGTTAGCGAATTTACGCGAAACGCGAATTTTCCCACTTAGTTGTGAGGAATGGTTGGACTTTGTAGTTGTGGGGGAGCTCAGTGCGGTGAAAGGGAGTGAGTTGGTTTGAAGTCAATTTTGGGCACCCACGATGGGATTAGCGACTTGACGAATGTCGAGTTGCATTCGCCATGTCACAATTTCAGGTTTTTTTTTTTTTTTTTTTTTTTTTTTTTTTTTTTTTTTTTTTTGGGGGGGGAATTTTTGTCAGCTGCCCCCAAAATTTCGGCCGAGCGTTTATAGTTTACCCCTGCGTTTAGCGTTTATACGCTAAATGCTCCCCAACAAGTGCGTTTAGAGTAACAAAGGTGAGGAGCAGCTTTATCCGGGACATAGTGGAGCGCGAGGAGGAGGGAGGCGGGGCACTGCATGTGACTAATGGCATGTGACTGACCCCCCTGTGATGTATCATTCCGTCCGCCCCATCCAGTCCTGGGCTTCATCCTGCTGGTCAACAACAGCGCCATCCGGGACATGGTGGAGCGCAATGCAGGCCACTGCATCTATGGGCCCATGGCCTATGGGCCCGCTGCAACCGACGGCCCTTCAGGCAACGGGTCCCTGCCATGCCGGCCGCGCGACCTGCCCATGTATGCGCCGCTGGTGGTGTTCAACATGCGCCCGGACTACGACCCCCGCGTGGAGACAATTAATGGGTGCTGCTTCGATGTCATGTCAGGTATGATATGCGCTTGGATGTCTGTAGCAGTGCATGTATGGGCGTGCGTCAAACGGCTGCGCGACCTGCCCACTCACGCAGGTCATGTTTTTTGAGTCGACTTTAAAAGCACGACCTGCCCATGTATGCGCCGCTGGTGGTGTTCAACATGCGCCTGGACTACGACCCCCCCCGTGGAGGTCACCAATGGGTGCTGCTTCGATGTCATGTCAGGTAGGATCTGGGATGCCTGTCGCACAGCATGCACGGGCCTTCGTCAAACGGCCGCGCGACCTGCCCATGTATGCGCCGCTGGTCGTCTTCAACATGCATGAGGTGACTGTTTTGAGGCGCCTAAAAAGTAGACACCTCATGACCTGCTGTGTATGCACCACTGGTGGTGTCCAACATGCGCCCGGACTACGACCCCTGCGTGGAGGTCATCACCGGGTGCTGCTGCGATGTCATGTCAGGTACTTGCAGGTGTATTTTGAGTCGACTCAAAATACACCTGGACAAGCCCACGGCGGAGGCATTAACTCAGGGTTTGCGAGAAGCCCCCTCCCGCCCTTCTACTTCCTTCCCTCCCTCAACAATTTATCCATCGGTTGGTGGCATTAACCCTTCGTCGATGTGATTCACTTAGGCCTTAACAAATTCTAGGGCCATATAAATGTAAGCCTAGACATGCTTCATGCTTCCTACTCATACTTGCACTCACTTCCACAAATTACCCCCATCCCCTTCGCCCACCGCTCCCCACCGCCCTTCACCCCATCCCCCCCCCCCCGCAGACCCCAGCATGAACGCAACCTTCCATCGAGCCATCGACTCAGCCTCTTCCGCCTTGTCTTCTCCCTTCATCCGCAACAACTACCCCTACCACTTCCTCTGCCAAGTCTTCCCCGTGTACTTCAACCGCACAACCTTCGCCCTACCTCACACGCCCTTCCCTCCCTCCTCCTCCTCTCCCTCGGTCCACCTCCCCCCCCTCGCCCTACCCCGGATGCTCCCGAGGGGATTTGTCATATCGATATATAATTTTGCGAACCTGCGGTCGCTGGTGGGCTTTAAGGAGCTGGAGGAGTTGAATGCAAGGGTTTACCTGGTGGATGGTACACGGGGCGGGGATTGGGATGGTGCGAAGAATGGTGTTGGTGGTCGTGCTGGCAGCAGCTGGTTGCCAGCCCTGCTGTTTGAGCACAAGGGGACGGCGAGTGAGGAGGAGATTGGTACTTGGATCGTGGACATGAAGGGGCAAGAGGAGGTGCATGTGGGAGGGGAGAGGGTGCAGCGTGCAGTGTACTTGGGGGATCCTGCGAGGAACTTCTATCTATTCTGCGAGTAAGTTGGTGCATGCATGCATGCATGCATACGTACGTACGTTCGTACGTACGTACATACATACATACAGACATACATACATACATACATACATACATCCACACATACATACATACATACATACATACATACATACATACATACATACATACATACATACATACATACATACATACATACATACATACATACATACATACATACATACATACATACATACATACATACATACATACATACATACATACATACATACATACATACATACATACATACATACATACATACATACATACATACATACATACATACATACATACATACATACATACATACATACATACATACATGCATACATGCATACATACATACATGCATACATGAATACATGCATACATGCATACATGCATACATGCATACATGCATACATGCATACATGCATACATGCATACATGCATACATGCATACATGCATACATGCATACATGCATACATGCATACATGCATACATGCATACATGCATACATGCATACATGCATACATGCATACATGCATACATGCATACATGCATACATGCATACATGCATACATACATACATACATACATACATACATACATACATACATACATACATGCATGTAATTTTACAAGTATAAATATGTACACATTACATTCATGCACATGTGCTTGTATGCATCAATGTTGACATTATGTCTTAAGTTTCTTCCCAGCTAGTCAAAGTGACCGCATCGCAACGATTGCTGCAAGCTAGTGCTCCAAACCTCCTCAATCAGACCCTCCACATCCCCACACAACCCCACGCAACCCCACCCAACCCCTTTCCCCCCCCCCAAAGGCACACGTCCTACACGAAGCCATTCGGCTCCTTCGTGTGGATCGGGGTGGCTGTGCTGATCATCGCCATGCCCACCTTCCTCCTCTAAACGTGCATCTAGCTCATGGCCGCCTTCGAGTCCGACTATCAGCACATGGCCGTTGCACCTTCGCAAGCTTACGCGCCACATCCTCCCTTCCCTTTCTACCCTTTCCACCTTTCCCACCCTTCCCACCCTTCCCATCACCTTCCATCCCCCCCAAAGGCACATCTCGTACTCCAAGCCATTCGGCTCCTTCGTGTGGATCGTGGTGGCAGTGCTGTTCATCGCCGTGTCCACGTTCCTCCTGTGGACGTGCATTCAGCTCATGGACGCTTTTGAATCCGACTGTCAGCATATGGCCGTCGCACAGCACGAGCTGAAGGCGGCACGCCTGGAGGCCGAGGCGGCGAGCCGAGCCAAGGGCGCGTTCCTCACCACCATGTCGCATGAGATTCGCACCCCCATGAATGGCGTGATAGGTAACACGGTCGCTGTAACTTTGATGACGTATAAAACGTTTGTGTGGCAATACATTCGTACTAGCTTATTATCTAACCCATGGTTACGAATGGAATCTATGGTGAGGTATTGTCACTATGATCTGTGCCGAACCTAAGCTTCAGCACCAGACCTGTGGTTCGGTATGTCTTTGTCACATGCGCTTTCTCCCCCATTTCTTACCCTAACAGGCATGCTGAATCTGCTGCTGGGTGCTCCCTTAGACAGCATGCAGCCGAACTATGCAGAGAGATGCTGACTCCTGACTCTTCCCTTTTCCCACCCCCCCCTCTTCCCTTTCTAGGCATGCTCAATCTGCTGCTGGAGACACCTCTGGACGGCACGCAGCTGGACTACGCGGAGACGGCGCGCAGCAGCGGGCGCGCGCTGTGTGCGCTGATCAACGACATTCTGGACCTCTCCAAGATCGAGGCAGAGAAGCTGCACCTCGAGCGCATCTCGCTGGACCTGCGTGCAGAGCTCGACGACGTGCTCGCGCTCTTCACAGAAAGCGCGGAGGAGAAGCGGTCTGTGGAGCTCGCGGCGTTTGTTGCCGATGATGTGCCCGAGACACTCATTGGGGATCCGCTTCGAGTGAAGCAGGTACTTGGAATGATCCTCGCTTCATGAAGCTGTTTCTGAAGGCGCTTGCACACAATTCCAGAGTTCATTTTGCTCTTTTTCCCTTCCATCCGCCTCTCCATTGTTCGTTTCGTTTGCTCCCTTTTTTTTTGCATCAGATCCTCATCAATCTCACCGAAACGCGTTCAAGGATACGACCCAGGGCCACAACTTCCTCCTCTTCTCCTCCCCCCCCGTCTCCCCCCCCTCCCCCTTAATTGTTTTTGAGAAATTTCAAAATCCTCTGGCCCCTCCTTATCTCCCCTCCTCCACTCCTGCTCCAGATCCTCATCAATCTCATTGGAAACGCCTTCAAGTTCACGTCCAAGGGCCACATCTTCATCGCCGTCCGGGTGGCAAGCAGCACAGGCGATGCCAATCCCCCGTCGCTGCTGCCAGCCTCGTCCTCCACCTCCTCATTGTCCTCCTCCTCCTCCTCATCATCCCTCTCCAAAGCATCCGCCAACAATCACCAGTCCCTTCACAACGGCCTCGCTATTGCAAACAACCGCGTTGCCAGAGGGGAGACCACAGAGGGGAAGGATGCACCTGAGGGCGTTGGCACCATTGCTGCAGCAGATAGGAACGGTGCGGATGCCTCTACGGGTGCTGATGCTGATGGCCGTGCGACCGCCGCAGATGCCTCCACTGATCCTGGGTGTCTGACCCTGAGTGGGCGGCCGGCAGTGAAGACGTGGTGCTCCTGGGAGCACATGGTTGGCAGCATGGACCTTGGAGCGGTCGGCATGGTGAATAACACCTGCCATAGCACTCTGGCTCCAGACCAGCCAGTGCGCCTGCTGGTGGCGGTGGAGGACACAGGTACGATTCGCAAGTGCTTGATGGATATAGATCGTCTGCACCCCACCTGCTTACCTACTGGCAGACTCGCGACCAGCCAGTGCGACTGCTGGTGGTGGCGGTGGGGGACACAGGTACAATTGCCCCTTTTGAAGGCGCCTCATCATTTGTTGGTGGCTAATCTCGACCAAATTTTATGGTGGCTATTTCTGAGGCACCTATTCTTTTTTGCTGGTGGCTGTGGAGGACACAGGCGCGTCATGATGTCTCCTCACGTTTTATGATGCGTGCCTTCGAAATTTCTCGTGCTTGTACACGAGCACGCATGTTTGCAGCCTGCCACAACAAGTCCCCACCTGCCACATGATATGCGATATATCGGGATGGCGCACGCACTCCTCTTCCTCTGCTCCCTATCTCTTCCACCTTCAGAGCCCAGTCCTTCTCAGGTAGTGGCATGCGGTGTCATGCACAGAGGTAGTTCTTCCGGCCATACGCCAATCTGGGTGTCGAGTCGACTCAAGAACCCCCACCTCATATCCCCACCTCAGTGCCCCTTATTGTGCCTCTCAGGTAGCGGCATCCCGCCGCATGCACGGAAACACATCTTCCGCCCATATGCCCAGGCGGACCGTAGCACGGCACGTCTGCATGGAGGCACGGGGATTGGGCTTTCCATATGCAAGGTATGCTGCATGCAAAGGTGCGTTGCATGCAAAGGTGCGGTGCATGCAAAGGTGCGTTGCATGCAAAGGTGCGTTGCATGCAAGGGTGCGTTGCATGCAAGGGTGCGTTGCATGCAAGGGTGCGTTGCATGCAAGGGTGCGTTGCATGCAAAGGTGCGTTGCATGCAAGGGTGCGTTGCATGCAAGGGTGCGTGCAAGGGTGCGTTGCATGCAAGGGTGCGTTGCATGCAAGGGTGCGTTCCATGCAAGGGTGCGGTGCATGCAAGGGTGCGGTGCATGCAAGGGTGTAGTGCATGCAAGGGTGCTGGGGAAATTGACACTGGGAACCTCGTTGAGCCAGCCTTTGAGTTCGACTCAAAAGTGGCGTCGACTCTTGGAGAAGAAACGTGGACTTGCTCTGATACCATGTTGCCAACAGACTAGGGCGGGAGGGCGCGTTTTGTCAAAGGTGAGCGATCTGAGGGCCCTAAACTTATAATCTTTTGTCATCCGCTCCTATTTCATGAGGGCAATCTCTGTGTGTCGATAACAACAACGTGGAGGTGCTCTCATGCTGCCGCATCTGCACAGCGCTTGGAACTCAGCACTCAGCACCTGCAGCATCTGCTCAGCATGAAGTTTTCAAATGCCTGTGTGCTCCGATCGGAGCGACCATGAAAGACAGGATTCTTGGTGAGATGAAATACGGGCTTGTTGGTCGCAACACATGGAAGGGAGATATGTGCATGCGCAATAATCCCCGCAGCAAAACCATTGCTTATACTTTTGCCCAGCCCTTAATCTTCCATTTCCTTTACTAACCTGCCCCTCCTCACTCCCTTCCCCCCCCCACCCACAACCCCCCACCCCCTGTCCTCTCCTCCACTTCCCCCTTCACTTCCCAATCCGAGCAGCGCCTCGTGTCGATGATGGGGGGATCCATCTCCTTCACTAGCAAGCCTGGCATCGGCACCACCTTTCTCTTTGACATTATCCTCCACACACCTCCTCTCCCCGACCTTCCCAACTCTCCCTCTCCTCCTCCTGAAACCCTCACTTCCCCTCACTCCCTGCGATCGAACCCACGATCGAACCCGCTTGAAGCAGCAGTCCCACTCCCCTCACCTCTCACTACTCCACTTTTGCCAGCGGCTTCCCCGGCCTCCCCGCAATCCCCCATCATGCCTTGTGTCGCTCCCTCCATCCCCTCCCCACGTCCTCTCAGCTCTCGTGATGTGTCCCCCCAGGCCACAAGCAACCAGCAGCAGCAGCAGCAGCAGCAGCAGCGGGGGGCAAGTGGGGTGGAGGGTGTGTGTGTGGTGAGTGGTGGAAGGGATGCATGTGCGTTGCAGGGGGTGTGTGTGGTGAGTGTGGACGACCGACCGGTGCGGCATGCTGTGACTCTCAGTCTGCTGCGCCGCCTGGGCGTCTGCACCCTCCACTGCTCCTCCTTCCGCCACCTGCCCTCCCTGCTCGCCCATCACCATGCCATGCACCATGCAGAGCAGGAGGAGTTGGAGGACGAGGAGCAGCAGGAGGGGGGTGAGGAGGAGGAGGAGAGGGAGGAAAAGAGGCCGGAGGACGAGGAGTCTTACAAGGAGGACGAGGAGTCTTACAAGGTCGTGATGAGCTCTGGCCTTTCTCCTGCTGCCACACCTCTTTTTCACGCCCTGCCACTGCGTTCTCTCTTTCGTCCAACCAGCCAATCCCTATCGGCTGGCCGCAGCATATCTCTCACAGCGGCATCAACAACCCACCCGCCTGCTCGTCTGGCTCCTCCACCTCCGTCTCGATCCACGTCCCACACAGCCTTGACAGACCACGCACAACATGCATCACTCGCACAACGTGCACAACACCCACAACTCGCGCCACTCACTTCTCAACAATGCAGTGGAGCCCCTCCAGCCGCGTCCCTGACAACACCCTCACCTCCTCTGCTTTCTAACCCCACACAGGCCAACACCGGGTCAACCAGCTCCCACTTCTCCCCTGCCCTTGAGCCTTTCGGCTCGCCGGCCATTCTCTCATCTCCGCCTGTTTTCCGCCTTTCTGCTGCCACCCCCTCTGCATCTTCCACCTCCATCTCCCCTCTCTCTCCTGCTCCTCCCCCCCGCCAGTTCTCCTGCCCTCCTCTCTCCCTCGCTGCCTGCTCCTCGAGTGGGAAAAGAGTGGGGGGTGGGGAGGAGGAGGACCAGCGGCAGCAGCGGTGGTGGCGGCAGCAGGGGGAAGAGGGGGAGGGGCAAAAGGACGGGAATGAAGAGGGGGAGGGGCAGCAGGGGGCGCACTACAGGAGTTTGGGTGAGGTGGAGAGGAGGGGGTATGTGGGGGCGGTGGTGGTGGAAGGGGAGATGATGCGGCGGCTGGGAGTGACTGCAGACCAGATTCACGCCCTTTTGGCAGGGCGGGGGGGTGGCATTGGGATGGCAGGGGAAGGCGAGCAGATGACCAAGGAGAGGGAGGAGGGGGAGGTGAGCAAAGAGGGTAGGGGAGGACGTGCGCTAGAGAAGCAGCAGCATAGCAGCAAGAGCAGTAACGGCAGCAAGGGCAGCAAGGGCAGCACCCAAATCGGCTGGCCCGTGCCCTTCCTTGTGCTCCTGCAGGGGTCCCTCCCGCTCGCACCCGACTCTCATGCCAGAGATCCTGCCACGCCCGACAGCTCCAGCCCTTACAAGCGGGATGCTTATAAAGGGGACAGTTTTTCCCATGACGCAGATTTGGACTGCCAAAGGGAAGACGGGGGCGGGAGCTTTCAGCAGTCGAAGAGCGGGAGGGTTCTGACCCGAGGGAAGAGCAGGGACAGGAGAAGGAAGAGCAGGGAGAGGGGGGAGAGAGCAGCAGCAGTAGCTGCAGGCATGGGGGCTGACTGTGCTTGTAAGCCGAGTGGCCGAGCCAGCCGTAGCAGGAGCAGGTCGCCTGTGCTGTCTCTCTCCCCGTCCCCATCCATCCCCTCGCTATTGTCACTTGGCTTCGATGCCGTTGTGAGGAAACCTCTCAGGAAGCCGGCTGTGCTGACGGCGCTGCTGCCGCTGCTTACTGTAGACACGGAGCACGGTCACTGTAAGGAGGCAGGAGGAGGCAATAACGAGGATGCAGCACAGGGAGGGTTGAGGGGGAGAGAAGAGGAGTGCGTCAGAAGGAGGGGTTTAGTGAGGTACAGCCAAGAGCTCTCCTTGCAGTGGCAGCGGCAGAAGCAGGTGCCTGCGGACGCCCCACGTTCCTGCCGCCGTTGTGTCACTATCGAGTGTGACAATAACGAGAGTAGTGGCAGCCGTGGCAGTAGTGGGAGGCATGGGCAGGGCCAGTGGGGAGCGTTGGAGCTAGTGAGCCCCTCGGCCCTCCACAAGGCGGGCAGCACCACTGCTGCCGCCATCTGGCAAGCGATCAAGTCCCCTCGAGCTGTCATGCGCTCCTCACACACCAACTCTCCCACCACTCCCACCACTCCCACCACTTCCACCACTCCCATCACTCCCACTACCCCTACCACTTTTACCACTCCCAACACCCCTGTTTCCAATGCTGGACGTCCCGTTTCTGCAAACCCAACCACACCGGCGGCTACCTCACCAGTCACAGCCGGCAGCATGAGCCCACAAACGTCCTGCAATCATGCCTCAATTGAGCGGGCCAAGCTCCTTCATGCAGCCAACGCATCACCAACGGCTGCGGTTTCAGCCACTCTAGCCACGCACCTGCCTCCTCGTCTCCTCCCCCCTGTTGCTGCCGTCAGCAATCGGTTCTCTCCCATGACAGGTGACCCCTCCCCCCTCACAAACGTGGCTGGCAAGGAATTTGATGCGGCTCATGACATGCATGGCAACGGCTCATCGGTGTTCCGTGAGGCGTCGGTGGATGCATGCATGCATGGCAACAGCTCGTTGCCACGCCTTGAGACGGTGCAGGATACATGCATGGATGGCAACAGTGCGTCGTTGGGGGAGCGAGCAGCTTCTCTCGAGCACCTTGTTGTGGGGGCTACAGATACAGGTGCATCTGCAGCTGCTGCTGTAGCGACAGCTGTAGCAGCAGATTCGACAGATTCAGCGGTGGCATGGGTTGGTCCTGGTCCGCTTCTGAGGCGTGCCCATTCCACGGACGGAGCTGCTGCTGCGCGACAGACGAACGGCTCAACAGCCTCAAGGAAGACAAGATTATGGTCGCATAGAAGCAAGAGCAATGTACAGAAGAGCAGCAATGCCCGTGGTGGTGGTGCTGGTACTGCTGCCACTGCCGCTTCTGGTGCTTCTGGTGGTGGTGGTTCTGGCCGCACCAGTGGTTTGGAGAGCGGGCTCGATTTTGCAGGGTTCTCTCCCACGTGCGCTCTGCCCACCTCTCTCACTCCTGCCTTGTCTTCTTCTTCTGTTTCTACGCCATCTCCTACCCTCACACACACACCATCACCGTCGCTTTCACCAACACTAGCTCCATCCCCAGCTCCAGAGCCACCAGCAACTCCAGCACCATCACCATCACCAGCAGCAGCAGCAGCACGGGAGCCGGCAACAGCGGGGGAGAAGCTGGGGGTACTGGCAGGGAAGCGGGTGGTGGTGGTGGACGACAACCTGATCAACCGCAAGGTGGCCGGCAAGCTGCTGGAGCGCCACGGAGCGCAAGTGACCGCCCTGGATGGCGGGCAGCGCGCGCTCGATGCGCTGCTGCCGGGCCACCCCTTCCACCTCGTCTTCATGGACCTGCAGGTGGGTGAGCAAAGAGAGGGAGAGGGACAGGTGGGTCAGAATGGGAGGATCATTCAGGTAGCTCGCCCCTTCCACCTCGTCTTCATGGACCTGCAGGTGGGTGAGCAAAGAGAGGGAGAGGGACAGGTGGGTCAGAATGGGAGGATCATTCAGGTAGCTCTCTCCTTCCACCTCGTCCTCATGGACCTGTAGGTGGGTGGAATCGGGGGAGATGGATGGTTAGAACTAGCATGGCTTTGCGTTTGCTCTTTCGGGAGCAATGCTCTTCTTGGGTCACTTGCTCGTTTGACATACCGCATGCGGTTACTTCATCTTACTTCATCTTCTTTATGCTTCGTTCTTCCTTCCTCCCCCCTCCCAGGCGTGGACGGGTTGGAGGCGACTTTCCATCTTCACTGTTTTCCCCGTGCCTTATCAAACCCCCCAGATGCCGGGCATGGACGAGTCGCATCAACGTGACTCATGGCTAAGTACAGTATTTTCCTCTCCCCCCTTGCTACTCCCCCCCAGATGCCGGGCATGGACGGGTTGGAGGCGACTCGGAGGATTCGGGCGCGGGAGAGGGCTAGGGGCATGGGGCATGTGCCCATCATAGCGCTCACAGCGGACGTCATTGCTGGCACGCGCGAGCAGTGCTTCGCCGTGGGCATGGATGCGTACCTCTCCAAACCCCTCGAACACACCCATCTCGCCAACGCTGTCTGGCAGTGCCTCCACCAGTCGTAGGACACACAGACGTGGAATTCCAAGTTGATGACGCCACCTGGCAGTGCCTTGGCCAGTCGTAGGCACCCATAGACATGGGGCATGTGCCAATGATTGCGCTCCCCGCATATGTCATTGCTGGCACTTGCGAGCAGTGCTTCGTCATCAGCGTAGATTCCTCTCTCTCCAGGGCACAAAGACTAACAGTACTAAGTCTAAATGTATGGAAGTGGTCTCAATGTATGGTACTACCGTAACTGCCAAATGTTGGTGCCAAAATTACCTTGTTGGGTTGCAACCCCAAAATTAGTAATTTATTTTGCATAACTTCGCTCCATTATATACAATTTGAAGAAATTGTAATCCTTCGCTTACAGTTCTTTATGTATCGGGCTTGTGATGTAAGGAAAATCCATTTCCTTATCGAGCCTCTCTTCGCTAGTATCGAGAACAGCCCTGACTTTCGGAAGTCCAGGCTCGGCCCGACAACTCAGGTCCGAACTACGTTCGAGACCCCCAAGCCTACACTCGGTGCCTCATCCGACACTTCCGAGTCCCAATGCGCTGTGTTTGTATTTAGCCCTGTGCTTCCAGGCCTCAAATTTGAAGGGTGTTTCACCCTGATTGCCCTTTCCAGCGGCCGCTTTTTCAGGATCACCCTGATTTTGTAAGGGCATTTTTTCCGTGACCCTTAGTTAAAAAGTGTAAGATTGTTTTTACTCTGCTGCAGTAAGAGTACTTCTAGTTCTACCCTGACCAGACAGGGTATCGTCGAAATCATACTGAAACAGAAGAGCGACCCGCATATTCGACAAGTTTCTGTGTCCAGCTGGCGTTGCACTGCATGTGTGATTTTGGCGAAGGGCCAATCAGGCCCCTCAAACCTGCTCCAGCCGCGCCGCCGAGCCGCCGAGCCGTTGTGTCGTTGTGCCGCCCCGACCCGCCGGCCCTGGTTCCCTCCTCTGCGTCGGCGCTCCTGCCGGCCGTCTTCACCGCCGCTCTCCACCGCTCCCCACCGCTCTCTCCTCCTCCTCCTCTTGCGACGGTCTGCTGCTGCAGGCGATGGCAGACACTGTGCTCCTCCTGGACGCGGAGGGTCGGGCGATCGACATTGAGGCATGAGGATGGCCAGTCTCTGGCAGTCCACGTCGACTGTAAGATCCCCTGTCCCGACCCGCCTGCTGCCCTCTCTGGTGCCCCTACGCGCGCTGAGCGTGAGGCCTTTGCAGCTGCTGAGCTCGCCCGCTCCGTCTGGGAGTCACGTGACGCAGTCGCGAAGCTTTCTATCAGTCGCGCCCTCCCCTTGTCTGAGCGCCCCCACTACCAGGCCCTAGAGATTGCGCAGGAGTACTTAGATGCCGTCATTGCGCGCTATTTCACTCCCTCCTCCGCCTCTGCCGGCCGTCTCCTTCTCCCCCTGCTCTTCCCTGACCTTACGTCCTTTCCCACTGTCGCTGATCTCGCAACTCACATGCACGCGCTAGAGGCCAGATACCGCTCAGATCCTTGTACTGCCTCCCCCCCTCGGCGCTACTCTCTACTTCCTTGCCACGCGCCTTCCTGACCGCCTAGCCACTGCCCACGACCACTTCCTTGGCCTCCACACCGCTGACCTCACCCTCGCTGACTTTGTCACTACACTGTCCGCGATAGAGACCCGCCAACGCACTATCGCTCAGTCGAGCGGTATTGCGGCGGTCCCTATCTTCCAGGGCTGTACTCCCTTCCAATGCACTTACTCTGACATCTCTGCCGCTGTTGTTGAGATGACCTCCGCTGCTGAGACCACTGCAGCAACCTCAGCGCAATCTCGTCAGGGTAGGGGACGCCGGGCCCAGGGGGGGCGTGGCGGCAGGAGGGGTGACGGGGGTGGCAGGGGTGGCGGAGGTGGTGGAGGGGACGGTAGTGCAGACGAAGGGACCGGGGCTGGTGCCCCAGCGCAGCAGGACGAGTAGCAGTAGCAGCGTTAGCAGCAGCAACAGCAGCCACAGCAGTAGCAACAGCCGCAACAGCAACTACAGTTGCAGCAGCAGCAGCCGTGTGGACCCCCGCCGCCGTGGAGGCCTGGATACTCTGGTGCTGGTGGTCGTGGTGGTGGGCCACGTAGCTTGGTGTCGGGTGGCGGCTCCAGTGTGGTCACCTGCCAGTACCAGCTTCAGTCCAGCCTCTGCCACGACACTGTCTGTGACTGTCCCGGTCACACCACTGCTCGCTGCTATCGCCGCCTCGACGACCTCTTCCGTCTCCGGTTCGGCCCTGCGTCGGACCCCCCCAACTGGCACAGCCTGGTACGTCGCTGTGTGCTGGTCTTTGAGATAGATATGGATCAGATTTGCTCTGCTATGTATGCTGATGACTCTAGTGTGACTCAAACGTATTATCCTGTGTTGCCTAATGTAGGTGTGCCCCCTGTGTGTAGTCTAGGCTCCCTGGTTGCGTCAGGCGTAGGACCTCCTGATTTGTTTAGCCTAGGCTCCTCGTTAGCCCTTTCGCCGGCTGCCGCTACCACCGCGCTTACTTTCTCGCTAGACTGTGATGCACAGAGCAGTGCACACCATCACTCTCACACAGTCACACTTGGTGCGCCAGGTCCTTCAGAGGTTCGGTCTTTAGTTCTCCTCCGCACAGCCCACACCTCTGCCAGAAGACCACAGGCTGTTGGCTCTAGTCCCTGAGGAGTCAATAGAGCCTAGTGGTCCGTACGCAGAGCTGGTGGGTTGCCTCATGTACCTAAAGACTTGCACTCGTCCAGATCTTGCATACACTCTCAGTATCCTGGCTCGCTTTGTGGCCACAGACAGACACCGACCTCAACACTAGTCGGCCGCTAAAAGGGTTTTACGTTGCAAGTACATTGGGCATGGGGCTAATGCTAGGAGGACGCAGGCCAGTGGTCCTTACAGGGCACACAGACGCTTCGTGGGCGGACAACGCTGAGACGCTCAGGTCCTCCCAGGGCTACTGCTCACATACTTAGGTGAGCGGCCTAGCTTTGCCCCGGTCCTGTACGCTGATAACATGGCCATGATGCTCCTGTGTTAGGAGCCTCGAGTGGAGGGCAGAGTGAAGCACATCCAGCTGCAGTACTTTCTCTTGCGCAAGCTACAGCATTGACGCCAGGCCCGCATAGTTCACTTGGCCTCCTGTGCCAACACAGCTGATATCTTTACGAAGGCGCTTGCGCCAAAGGATCATCAGCGACACTGTGTACAGCTTGGTCTAGTTCGAGTAGCTCCTCACTTGCTAGGACCCTGATTGTGTACTACTCTTTTATATATTCTCCTGACTGGCCTTGTGGCTTCTGTTCCAGTGGCCAGACTAGTAGTGTTGCCCTGGTTTGCTCTTGTCTAGTTTGTACTCTTCTGGCTGGTCTTCGGACCCTTGCCTCAGAGGTTGGATTAGTAGTGCCACCTTGAGCTGCATGTCTCTTGCCAGGCACTGCCCCTTGTCCAACTTAGGGGGTGTGTCAACATATTTGTAGATTGTTATAGACTACATAGGTGCATGCTTATAGAGAGTATAACACCATAGCACAAAACCAGCTTGTGTACCTCATTCTAGTCATTGCGTTATTCCGAGATGCTCCACATCTCTTACGTTGCACGTGCCCGTAGTGACTTTAGAGGTGTTAGCTAGCTAGGGTAATTCATTGTCAATAGCCCTTCTTGTCGTAGTACTAGAAACTCTTGAGCAGATGCGGCAGCGCGTGCGTCGGTTCTGACGACGAAGGTCGGCGAAATGGTGGCGAAGATGGAGGCCATGTCCTTGGACCTTGCCACGTTGAAAGAAGAAGATGTGAGCCTTCGCCAGGCGCGCACCAACCGCAGACAATGTCAGCGACACCTGACGTTAGCATGAGGGAGCGACGGGCAATTGTGAAGATCAAACCTGCCATGCCCCTGCCGTTCAATCCGATGGAGACGCACAGCACGCTGTGTGGGTGGCTGTTCACCATGGAGTTGTTCTTCAATGCTGCCGATGTCAACGACGATGAGACACACGTCAAGTTGGCAATGTTTTTATTACGAGGGTCTACATTAAGTTGGTGGTGATAGTACGTGACGTCGTGAGGGACTTCGACAGACCGGCAACTTGCGATGGACGGGGAGCTACGATTGGCTTCAACTTCTACGTGATCCTTATTTGGTGTGGCCGAGAAAGTTGACCTGGCCACAGTGGGGTGCACTGCTTCGCAAGCACTTCGAGCATGTATCCGCATGCGAAAACGCTCTTGTGAAGCTGCAAGGGTGGCATCAAATGGGCTCAGTTCTAGAGTACACGTCATTATTCCTCGCCATCTGCGACAAAATCGACGATCAACATGAGATGGAGAAAACGAGCCGATATATCCTAGGGCTGAAGACGGAGGTCCAGCAAGAAATTCGCATGCACCGCCGACGACGTTCTTGGAAGTGCAGCAAGTCGCAAAAGTGTGGGACGAGAACAGTGTATGGCCGAGAGCGAATTTTCGGGAGGGAAGTTATTTTCAAGGGCAGAATATTTACCCATCCATCAACGGCGTGGCAGCACCGTCATATAATAGATTTCCTGGCAAGTGTTATCATTGCGGCTAGCCGGAACACATCATGCGGGACTGTCCGGAGTTGCAGAAGTTGGGAGCTAATGACGGAAGGAAGTCGGGAAATAGACAGCATCAACAGCAGTCGGACCCCCTACTGATGAGGCTTCGTCGCCCGAAGATCACCATTCCCACCAAGTAGTAGTGCCGATCTATGCGATATCGGCCATGCTCGGTTAAAGGGGAGTGAACCTGTTGACTGCCCTGTGCTGGTGGAAGGGCACGTTGGCAACACCAGATTAAAAATATTTGTGGATGATGGAGCATCACACAGTCTGTTCAACATGACAAGAGCAAAGAAACTGAGGTTGCAAATGGAGCGCTGCATGCCCAAAATTGACGCGCGGTTGGTCGACGTCACGCCACTTGCAATTCGGGAGCGGATGAAATACATTCACATTGATTGCAACAGCCAAGTCAGCTTCGCCATGCACATGCTGACGACTACATTGGACGGCTGTGATGTGCTCTTGGGACGCGATTGGCTTCGCACGTACAATCCGAGCATTGGGTGGCAAAATGGCAACGTTCGCTTGAAGTGGGGTGGCGAGTGGCGACGACTGCCAAAGTGGAAACCACCCGACCCACGGTCAACACTAGTTAACAACGTAACCATCAAGCGCGCGATGGCACGCGGCGTGGACGTCTACGCCATCCGATGGATCGCATCAGCGGAGGTGGCTGAACTGACCAACCTCGAGAAGTTGCGTGCTGCCTAAGGACCTGGCGAAGAACATGCGCAAGTTCGAGAAGATCTTTCCTAATAACCTGCCGCTCGGCCTACCACCCGAACGACCACATGATCACACGATTGAGCTGGAACGTAGAGCGCAACCGACCATCCGATCACAATGGAGGCCGAGTCAACCGGAGCTGCTGGAGCTGCGTACCCAACTGGATTCATCCGCCCATCCATGTCACCCTACGCCGCGCCGATTCTCTTCATCCCAAGAAAGCATGGAGGGCTTCGAATGTGTACTGACTACCGAGCGCTCAACAACATCACCATCAAGTCGCGTTAACCAATTCCACGAGCCGACGATCTCATCGTCCAACTTCGCGGGGCCATGATTTTCTCCAAGATTGATTTGCGAGGGGGTTACCACCAGATTCGTGTCGCTGAAGCTGATATTTCGAAGACAGCATTTTGAACCTGTTACGGAAATTACGAGTATACAGTGATGCCGTTTGGGTTGACAAACGCACCCTCCACTTTTCAACTGACCATGAACGAAGTCTTTCCCCCGCTACTGGACAAGTGCGTTATCGTCTATCTGGATGATATCCTGGTGTACAGCAAAACTCGGGAGCAGCATTTGAAGGACCTGGAAGCAGATTTTACCCTCTGCAATCAACACCGCCTCATCACTAAGGGCTCTAAGTGCGATTTCTTAAAAGAAGAGTTGGAGTTCATCGGGCACATGATCTATACTGCAGGCGTTAAAATTGACCCAAAGAAGATTGACACTATTCGAAATTGGGAACCGCCTACTAAAATTAAGGAGTTGCAGAGTTTTCTGGGGTTCGTCAAGTACATGCGCCGTTTTATCCAAAGAATGGGAGAGTCAACAGCCCCACTAACCGACTTGCTGCAGAAGGGGGTTTTTTATGAATGGGGGGAGATGTAGCAAGCTGAATTTGATCAACTGAAGACTTTCCTCATGACACCACCAAATCTTCGTATCGCTGACCTTGACCGCCCGTAAGAACTGGTTACGGATGCCAGCGATATTGCCGTTGGCGCGGTATAGTTCCATGACATTGGCAAAGGACCGCAGCAATCACCTACGACTCGCGACCACAAGTCCCTACTGTTCCTCCGAGCCCAACCGACCATCAATCCATGTCAGATTCGTTGGCTCGAATATCTCGATTCCAACCTCCACTACTGTATCACCTACAAAAAGGGCACAAAATAATACTGTCGACGCCCTCTCCCGCCCTGCTGCCCATATAACCACTGTACTAATTGCCCAAGCTAATCCGTTGCTAATATGACTATTAACCTACGGCTACAATACTGACCCGCTCTTCACCTCTAACCACCACCAGGCACCGACCACTCAACGAGGGCACTACCACCTAAAAGCTGGTACTGACCAAATTTGGGATCCATCCTATTGACTATTATACGAATTACTGATACAGGAGGTCTATGACGCTAATTGCTCGGGACATTTTGGGGTTGATAAAACCTTGAAAATGCTCCAACGTCATCATTATTGGCCGAATGCGAGCCATGGCGTGCAGCAATACGTGGCCTCATGCCCCACCTGCCACCTGATGAAATCCTCTCGCCAAAAGCCAGCTGGATTACTACAACCGTTAGAACTGCTCACAAAGCCCTGGACGCACGTATCCATGGACTTCGTAACAGGGTTGCCAGTGCCGGCGCATCCCAAAATAATGTTGTACTCGTGGTTGTTGATCGATTCACAAAAATGGCTCATTTCGTGCCATACCGGACGGCAATCACAGCCGAGCAAACCGCCAAGCTGTTCATCCTGACCGTCTTTCGCCTGCAGGGAATCCCGAAGGCGATCGTGAGCGATCGAGACCCCATATTTACGTCCAAATTCTGGACAAAAATGTGGGAACAATACGGTACACGTCTCCATTTGTCCACGGCCTACCACCCACAGACCGACGGCCAGACTGAACGGACAAATCAGACCATGGAGCAACTTATACGGACAACCTATACCGGCCCGACCGACTGGGAAGATTCTCTCCCCTTGATCGAGTTTGCGTATAACAACGCCCCTTCGTCCACGACTGCCCAATCACCGTTCTACCTGAATTATGGTCTAAATCTCACGACTCCCATGACACCCCTAGTTGAGAGTCCCGCCCCACGGTCTCAACAGTTCGTCAAGGATTTACAGACTACACAGAAAAATGCTACCGGGGCTATTTCCAAAGCCAACCTTACTGCCAAACGGTATGCTGACAAGCATAGATGGGATTTACACCTGTCTCCTGGGCAACTAGTCCAGTATGACACTAAGAATTTAGGGTTGAGTTTACCACATAAACTCCGCCCGAGATTCTGTATACCCTTCCCGAATTATTCGGATGGTGACACCTGTCACTGCCAAGCTACCGTTACCGGGCGATTGGCGTATCCACGATTCCTTCTACGTCAGCCTCCTTTGGCAGCTCGTCGCGAACACGGCTGATCTCGACCGTCAACGACTTTACATTTCGATCAGACCCGTCCCCGAGCCACAACAAATCCTCTCCCACAGAATCCGCCGCGACCAAGGTCAACGGGTTTTGGAGTTTCTGGTTCGATGGGTTGACCATACGTGCGACGACGACATATGAGTCCCGGCCGCTACCCTGGACAACCACCCACTAGTGCAGGCCAATTTACACGGTCGGGCTGCCCCATATGTGGGTAGTCTCGTCTAGGAGGGGGGAAGGTGTAGAGAAAATCCCTTTTCCTTGTGGAGCCTCGCTAACATCGAGTACAACCCTGAATTTCGGAAGTCCAGGCTCGGCCCGACAACTCAGGTCCGAACTACATTCGATAACTGGAGGAAAGTTCGCACAGGATACACGTGTTCCTCACTCGGAACAGTCCAAATTGCAATCCCACCTACCAGGTTCTCAGCATGACTCGCGTTGACACTGAACCTGATTGGCTGCAGTCTGAACGATAGTGAACAACCAAGTCGTATTTCGACAATTGCGAGTTTCAGAGCTGGGACGTCGCGCAGGCAACTAATCTAGTGCATGAGCAAGATTTTGTAACCAAGTGTAAGTGTTTACTGTGGGTTTTCCCCTTCAAGGTCCCGTTTGCCAGTGTTTTACCATTTCCTGCTTATAGGCTCGAGTCGCATGCGAAAACCGTGGGACTAAATAGGAGAAAGGTGTATGTCCCTAGACTGTAGAGTACAGACGGTGAAGAGTTCTTTGGTCACAATGCCCTAAGGGAGGATTCTGCAGTGAGTGTCAGACCCGAGGTTGTCACAACCTAACTGCGGGTTTAATTTTCTTGACGGTGTAGCGGCTGCACAGTCACGAATTGTCGCAAGGGGAGGGTTGCGGCTATACTAGCCGAGCTTTTCAAGTCAAACAGAATTTTACGAAGTTATGACTGGTGGATGTGCATTTGCGCGTCTCTGTTAGTTGTTCGGTTTGACAGCTGACTTGCTGGAGCCGTCAGTTTTTTCGCAAGAGCCAAGGCAATTTTGTTTCCAGCCTCGGATCTTTCCGCTAAACCCTCGGGTCAAATACTCGCTGCAAAACACACCCTAACTCAGTGGAATCAAGCACCGGAAAGTGGAAGGGGTTCGAAATCAATCTACCCACCAGATCGAGATGACACCAAAAGACACCCTCGGATTTTGAGGGCGTGTCCCAAGAGTACGCTTGATTGCGGTCGGGTGAGATGCTTACTGATTCAGCAAGGTCAAATAGCGACGTAAAACGATCGGGTAGGGTTTAAGCTCGAAAAGGTATGCTCGGGACACGCCCTGATTACTGAGGTACAGTTATTCTTCCAATTAGTTTTACTTTTTTTGCATGCGGCCTAGACCCGTAAGCAGGAAATGGTAAAACACTGGCAAACGGGACCTTGAAGGTGAAACCCACAGTAAGCCCTGACACTTGGTTGCAAAATCTCGCTCATGCACTAGATTAGTTGCCTGCGCGACGTCCCAGATCTGAAACTCGCAATTGTCGAAATAAGACTTGGTTGTTCGCTATCGTTCAGACTGCAGCCAATCAGGTTCAGTGTCAACGCGAGTCATGCTGAGAACCTGGTAGGTGGGATTGCAATTTGAACTGTTCCGGGTGGGACAATATATGAGAAAAGGTGTAGGTTGCCTCTTCTAGCACGACGTAGAACCTGGTGGTGCCCCCAAACCTGTAGAAGCTCCCCACAAGCTCCCTAGGTCATTCAGGGCGGTCCCGCGCGTATGTTCCTCGCTCGAAACCCCACTCAACCGTTTCATGTCGCTATATTTCCTTCTGCCCCGCATAGAATCTTACCCAACCGTAATCGAACGAACGCGGGGGACACGCCCTCAACAGTTTCTCGACAACACAGTTCCTGGCTGTGCTGTCACTGGGGTTTGGTGTCACTTGGCTTCTGTCGTCCCAAAAAGTGGTGAAACCGGGTGGGGTTGGACCCGCGCCACGTTGTGAGGTTGATGAGGTTGCGACGAAGTGAGAGTGAAGTTGGGACAAAGACATCGTAATAGCTTGTTTGCCTACGACGAATGCATCGTGCTCAGGTGCTAGCCCATCATCTGAGGGCGCGAAGCTGAACCTTAGTGCATACGATGCAGATCCGAACAGTCGCGTTGGTTTCCGCAACATGCTCGCCACGTCCCAGCCACCATACCAACCGCTTTGCCCAGCTGAAATTGTGTGGCGAGATCTGATTGGCGACATGGATTGCGCAGCAATGGCCGCTTGCATGCCAAGGCAGCCGCATGATCGGCGGAACGGGTTTCGAAGACTCAGCGGGGACAGCACCGTCTTTAGGGACGACGCGAGGGAGAGCGTGGAGTGCGGAGCCGAGGGGGAGAGGGAGAGAGAGGATGGAAGCGAGAGCAGTGGGAGTGAGGTAGATCTAATCGAGGCAGAATGGGGTGATCATGGCGGGAAGGGTCACTCTGATTCAGAGGAAGAAGCGGCAGAAAGAGCTGTGCCGCTCGAAGAGGGGATGGCGGGAACGGGGATGGAGGCGATGGCGGAAGCGGGGATGGAGGGGATGGCGGACGAGGGGATGGATGCGGAGGGGATGGATGCGGAAGAGGGGATGGCGGAAGAGGGGATGGCGGAAGAGGGGATGGCGGAAGTGGGGATGGCGGAAGATGGGATCATGGCGGAGGAGAGAGCGCAGCGGCGGCGGCAGTCATGGCTGTGGAGCGTGGAGTGGCTCGCGTCGTGGCCGCTCAGACGACTCAGCCACACGTGGCGCCAGGTACGCCGTGATTACTACGGCAATTAGTGTGGTGACTGGGACGCCGTGATTACCGGAATGAGTGTGGTGACTGGGACGCCGTGATTGCCGCCATTAGTGTGGTGACTGGGACGCCGTGAACATCGCTAGTGCGGCGGCTGACAGTCCGTAGTTTTCCGCTACTGTATGGCCTCTAGCGCTCTGCTTCATCATCATCATCATGTTTGGCCGGGTCTGGTTTATTGCTCAGCCACCTGACAGGCATGGCACGACTCGGCCACAGTCAGCAAGGGGAGAAGCATAGTTATTTGTCCCTGTTCCCCCTCGCATACTCCTTCCACTCCCCCCTTGCATACTCCCATTTCCAGGTTGCTTAGTCCCTTGGTATCTCGTTCCCAGAGTCCCCCCCTCTCGCCTCCGAGCGTCTTCAGCTCTCCCTGCTTCACCTGAGTTTCCACACCCCCCCTCCGGCCCATTACTTCCCCCTCTACCAGACTGCCCTGGCTGTGGGGACCACGGGCCTTGATATTTTGACCCTTGTGCTTGTAACAGCGCGGCTGCACTCGTTTTGAGACGTCTCACAAGTATATTTCTCTCTCCCCCCTTCTTCCGCGGCCCTGTTACTCCCCCCTCACCAGCGGCTGTTCTGGCTGTGGGGGCTGGCAGCCTTGGGCATTCTGACCCTGGTGCTGGTGTGGGTGTGGCGGCTCTCAGAGAGGGACGCGTGGGACGAGCTGGCAGCGCACTGCGACGAGTGGGCGGCGTTCGTCGAGGGCAAGTTCAACACCACGGCTGCCAACACGCACTCTCTCGCTGATTTCGTCCGCACCTACTACCTCGATAGGTAGGTGTGCGTACCATATGCCGCCTCGTGCTCACCAAGAGTTTCAGTTTGGCGGTCTGTGTTGAACGGCCAATTCGTTCTCCTTATCCAAACCAAAGGAGCTGACTTTTTTTAGTCAACTCAGAAGTCAGCTCGCCGCCTCGTGCTCACCAAGAGTTCGGTTTTGAGGCGTGTGGTGAACGGCTAATTCGTTCACCTTATTCAAAGGCACTCATTTACTTTAGACCGGATTTTTGAGCTGATTCGATTTGGTTGTCTTCTGCTGAGTCTAGAACGGCGGAAGTTTCGGTTTGAATGGCCCACTTTGACCTCGCCCAAAGTTGGCTCCACCCACCCACCCACCCACCCACCCCCCCATTCTAGCACCTGTCGTCATGGGTGCCTTGTGAGTCGACTCACATGCCACTTTCTCCCCCTTCGTCCCCCTTCGCCCTCCGTCGTCCCGCGTCGCCGTTGTCCCCCTTCCTCGCCCTTCGTCCCCCCTCCTCCCCCGGCCAATCAGCGCAAAGGAGAGCTTTCGCAATGTGGCCAAGTTCCAGGGGTTCACTCAATCCACTCTTGACGCCCGCCCCCTGGCATCATGTGAGCCCCATGGCATCATGTGAGTTACATGTGAACTGACCCATGGCATCATCTGAGTTACATGCGAGCTCACCCATGTGAGTTACATGTGAGCTGACCCATGGCATCATGTGAGTTACATGTGAGCTGACCCATGGCATCGTGTGAGTTACATGTGAGCTGACCCATGGCATCATGTGAGTTACATGTGAGCTGACCCATGGCATCATGTGAGTTACATGTGAGCTGACCCATGGCATCATGTGAGTTACATGTGAGCTGACCCATGGCATCATGTGAGTTACGTGTGAGCTGACCCCTGGCATCATGTGAGTTACATGTGAGCTGACCCATGGCATCATGTGAGTTACATGTGAGCTGACCCATGGCATCGTGTGAGTTACATGTGAGCTAACCCATGGCATCGTGTGAGTTACATGTGAGCTAACCCATGGCATCATGTAAGCCACATGCCCCTCCTCCTTTTTTGCTTGTCTCTCTTTCGCCCATGTTACCGCCGGCCCCTCTTTTGCCCAGTCGTGGGGTTTTCATTCCTCTTCAACACCTCCGCAGCGCGGGCCACATTGGAGAGGGAGACCGGGCAGTGCGTCTTTGGCTACGGCCCGAACGGCACCTTCCCCTGCCAGCCCCTGGGCGAGCCCATGTACTCGCCGATCGTCTTCTTCAACATAAGGCCGGGATACAACACCCTGGTGGACTTCAACAGCCGTTGCTGTCTGGACATCATGTCAGGTACGTACTCACACTTGCAGTTAGTTTATGCCCCAGTCACAAACCGGCCCCTCCACGACGACGCATTGTGCTCGGCCAGTGTGCAATTGCCGTCTTCAGCACGAAGCCCTGGTGAATCTCAGCAACCGACGTCATGTCTGTCAGGTACTCACTTGAATTGTTGGACTTGCACCGTTGTAGGAGGAACTCAACTGTTGTAGCCCCACGGACAGCACCCTCAACCGCGACATGCGAAATTTATACATATTGCATGTCTCATGTACGAATCTCCTCCCATGTCTCCCTCAGATCCAAGTTTCAACGCAACGATTCATCGATCCATCGCCCTGGCCTCCTCTGCCATGGCACCACCTTTCATGCGCGGCGACTACCCCTACCACTACCTCGGCCACACTTTCCCCGTCTACCACAACCACACCACCTTCGCCCTGCCGCCCATGTACCCCCCTCCCACGCCCTCCTCCCTCCACCTCCCCCCCCTCGCCCACCCCGGGATACTCCCGAGGGGCTTCCTACTTGCGGGGTATAACTTTGCGAGCCTGCGATCGACGGTGGGCTTTAAGGAGCTGGTGCATCCGAATGCACGTGTCTATCTGGTGGATGGGACCAGGGGTGGGGATGGGGATGGAGATAGGGATGGGGGTGCGGGCAGCTGGGTGCCAAAGTTGATGTTTGAGCAAGAAGGGGTGGTGGGTGAGGAGGAGATAGGGAGGTGGATGGTGGATTTAGAGGGGAAGGAGAAGGCGAATGTGGGAGGGAGAGTTCAGCGTGCAGTGTACCTGGGTGACTCGACCAGACGCTTCTACCTTTTCTGCGAGTGAGTTGATTCCACGTGCTTGTCAACCCCTCCCTCTTCCCCCCCTCGCCCCATCCACCCACCCTTCGACCCGACAACATCACTTGTTTGACGTCACTTCTCGCCACGCCCATTTCCACGTACCATGTTGCCGGCTAGTGCCCCAAACCACCTTCCCACCCTCCCACCCTCCCCACCGCCCTCCCCCCCTCAAGGCACGCATCCTACACCAAGCCGTTTGGCCCCTTTGTGTGGATCGTGGTGGCCGTGCTCTTCCTGGCCGTGTCCACCTTCCTCCTGTGGACGTGCATTCAGCTCATGGCCACCTTCGAGTCCGACTGCCAGCACATCGCCACTGCACAGGATCAACTCAGGGAGGCCCGGTTGGAAGCCGAGGCGGCCAGCCGCGCCAAGGGGGATTTCTTGACAACCATGTCGCATGAGATCCGCACACCCATGAACGGCGTCATCGGTACGTGCTGCACAACCATGTTACACCGTCATCGTTGACGTTGTCCCCCTTGGCCTCGTCCTTGCCGTCGCCGTCGTCGTCCTCCTGGTCCTCGTCCTCGTCATCTTCATCATCATTTTCATTACTAATACTATTATGATTATTGTTGTTATTATTATTACTGCTCTGGTTATCACTGTTTTGGTTATTGTTATTATTATTATTATTATTATTATTATTATTATTATTATTATTATTATTATTATTATTATTATTATTATTATTATTATTATTATTATTATTATTATTATTATTATTATTATTATTATTATTATTATTATTATTATTAATCTTAAAATTCTCACTTCTCATGATTTTGACCTCCCCCCTCCAGCGTGTGTTCGAGGCATGCTGGACCCACTTAGACGGCACACGGCTGGACTACACAGAGACAAGCTTATGGTGCCTGTATTCTCGAAACCCTTCCCCATCACCACACAAACACCAGGCATGCTGAACCTGCTGCTGGAGACGCCCCTGGACGGCACGCAGCTGGACTACGCGGAGACGGCGCGCAGCAGCGGGCGCGCGCTGTGTGCGCTGATCAATGACATTCTGGACCTCTCCAAGATCGAGGCGGAGAAGCTGCGCCTCGAGCGCATCCCGCTGCACGTGCGCACCGAGCTCGACGACGTGCTCGCGATTTTCGTCGACAGTGCGGAGGAGAACCGGTCCATCGAGCTCGCGGCGTTCGTTGCGGACGACGTGCCCGAGACGCTTATTGGAGACCCGCTCCGGGTGAAGCAGGTAATTTCAAATAACATATTTACGTTTCAGTGGGGGTTTTTTAAACAAGAACATATTGTTGAGCAAACAGTAGCGTGTACTCTGCTATTTGAAGTAGGTAGGCTGTATGCTTGTCTCTTGCTCGCACTTCTTGAGTAGTTGTCTCCGGTCAAGCCTTTTCCCGCTGTCTGATCCTCCCTGTCGAGCCTCTTGTTTGCCGCTACATCAGGTTCTCATCAATCTCATCGGAAACGCCTTCAAGTTCACGACCAAGGGCCACATCTTCCTCTCCCCCAAGTTCCTCCTCTACTCCCTACTCCAGGTCCTCATCAACCTCATAGGCAACGCCTTCAAGTTCACCACCAAGGGCCACATCTTCATCGCTGTCCGGGTGGCAAGCAGCACCAATGCTGCTGATGATGCTGGCGATGATGGTGACGGTCCCCCACTGCTGCTCCCAGCCTCGTCCTCCGCCTCCTCCTCCTCGTCAGTCGAGAAGAAGGACTCAGCTGACGCAGATGATGATGCCATGGCTGCCTCAGAAGCCCCAGCATCGCCAGATATTGGTGTGCATGGGAGCGGAGGTGCTGGTGCTAATGATGGCTTTGATGGCCGTGGATCTACCAGGGCTGCTGGGGCTGCTGGGGCTGCTGGGGCTGCTGCGGATGGCGAGGATGCTCCTGCCGGCCCTTGCTGTGTGACCTTGAGCGGGCGGCCAGCAATGAAGACGTGGTGCTCGTGGGAGCGCATGGGCGGCAGCATGGACCTCGACACGGTGGGGGCGGCCTGTCACACCTGCCATGGTGGTGGCGTGGCTAACCACAGCTGCCATGGTGGTGGCATGGCCAGCCACACGTGTCAAAGTGCCCTGGCTCCCAACCAGCCAGTGCGCCTGCTGGTGGCGGTGGAGGACACAGGTGCGACTCACAGATGCTTGATGGATGTAATAAGAAGCCCCCCAACACCTCCTACACTCCCTACACTCTGTACACTCCCTACAATCCCCATCCTCTACACATTTCAGAAACTCCGTAGTTTCTGTTCTCACTCCATTGTCGGTTCTGTTCTCACTCCATTGTCTCTTTCAATCTCCTTGCCCCCGATGGTCCTTCCTTAACAGGTAGCGGCATCCCGCGTCACGCGCAGAGGGACATCTTTCAGTCGTACGCCCAAGCGGATCGCAGCACAGCTCGCCTGCATGGAGGCACGGGGATCGGCCTCTCCATATGCAAGGTGTGCTGCATGCAAGTTCACTACTGCATCTGCATGCTAGGTGCGCTGCATGGCAAACCTAGGTTAGTAGGAGCCTCTCTGAGTCGGCTTTGGGTCCGCTCAAAAGTGCCGTTGAGTCCACTCGAAAGTGGCGTTGAGTCCCCTCAAAAGTGATGTTGACACTTGGAATTGAACCCATACCTTCTCTGATACCATGTTGGAGATTTTAGGCCCAGATCCCAGATTACAATTTCCACCATGGTAGTAATCCCTGCAGCACCTACCATTTCTGATCATCTAGACCTGTCCTATTTATCCATTTCCTTGCTGGCCCGCTGTTCCGCAACCCCCCCCTCCCTACCCCCTCTCGCACTCCCCAATCCGAGCAGCGGCTCGTGTCGATGATGGGGGGATCCATCTCCTTCACGAGCAATCCAGGTGTCGGCACCACCTTTCTCTTCGACATCATCCTCCACACACCCCCTCTCGCTCACCCCTCCCCTCCTCCTAACCCCGACAGGCCTCCCCCTCTCCCTCCCCTTATTACAACGTCTCCTCCTCAGCCCCTCACTCCTCATTCTCACCTCCCTGCCCCACTCCCCTCCACTCTCTCCATCCCTTCCCCGCCCACTGCTTCCCCAACCTCCCAACAAATTCCCGCCATACCATCCGTACGTTCCATCTCGCCAGCTACTATCTCCTCGCCTCATCCGCTTAGCCCGTGCGACGGGTCCCCCCAAGCCACAAGCGAGCAGCAGCAGCAGCAGCAGCAGCAGGAGCAGGATCACATGTGTTCGCGGTTGCTGCAGCGGCGGCCGCAGGCAAGATGTGGGCTGGAGGGGGTGTGTGTGGTGAGTGGCGGGAGTGGTGGCGGTGGTGGCAGTGGTGGCAGTGGTGGCAGTGATGGCTGTGGTGGGAGGGGTGGCAGTGGTGGGAGGGGTGCATGTGCGTTGGAGGGGGTGTGCGTGGTGAGTGTGGACGACCGCCCAGTGCGGCATGCTGTCACTCTCAGTCTGCTGCGCCGCCTGGGCGTCTGCACCCTCCACTGCTCCTCCTTCAAGCACCTGCCCTCCCTCCTCGCGCAACACCGTGCCATGGACCATGGTAGTGGTGATGACCTCACCACAGGCATGCATCCACATGCCATGCACCATGCAGAGCAGGAGGAGTTGGTGGAGGAGGAGGGAGAGGAGGAAGAAGGGGAGGAGGAAGAAGGGGAGGAGGGGGAGAAGAGAATGGAAGAGTTTTGCAAGGTTGCGATGAGCTCTGGCCTTTCTCCTGCTGCCACATCTCCTCACGCCCTGCCACTGCATTCTCTTCAGCCTTCAACCACCCAATCCCCTCCAGCTCGCCGCAGCGTATCTCTCACAGCAGCATCAACAACCCACCCATCCGCTCCTCTCGCTCTCCCACCTTTTCCTCCCTCCACGTCCCACACCACGCTAACACAATCCGCACAACTCGCACCACCCGCCTCCTCACTCGCACGTCCAACCCAACTCGCACAACTCCCACAACTGGCACCGCTTGCGTCCCTACAATGCAATGGAGCACCTCTAACAGCGGCTCACACAACACCCACACCTCATAGCATGTCTCACATTCTTCCTGTTTCAAACCTCACACAGGCCAACACAGGGTCAACCAGCAGCCACTTCTCTCCTCCTCTTGAGCCTTTCGGCTCGCCGGCAATTCTTGTATCTCCTGCTTTCTTCTGCCCCTCCGCCTCCACCCCCTCTGCATCCTCCACCTCCTTCTCCCCTCTCTCTCCTGCTCCTCCCCCGCGCCACTTCTCCTGCCCTCCTCTCTCCATCCCTGCGCACTGCCCGAGTGGGAAAGGAGTGGGGGATGGGGAGGAGGAGGACCAGCGGCAGCAGCGGTGGTGGCGGCAGCAGGGGGAAGAGGGGGAGGGGCAAAAGGACGCGAATGAAGAGGGGGAGGGGCAGCAGGGGGCGCACTACAGGAGTTTGGGTGAGGTGGAGAGGAGGGGGTGTGTGGGGGCGGTGGTGGTGGAAGGGGAGATGATGCGGCGGCTGGGAGTGACTGCGGACCAGATTCACGCCCTTTTGGCGGGGAAGGGGGGGTTTGCTGGGATGGCGGGGCAGGGAAGTGGCATCGGGATGGCAGGGGAAGGTGAGCAGATGAGGGAAGAGAGGGAGGAGGGGGAGGAGGGGGAGGTGAGCAAAGTGGGTACGGGAGGGTGTGCACTGGAGAAGCAGCAGCGCAGCAGCAAGGTCAGCATTGGCAGCAAGAGCAGCACCACCTGCAGCACATGGCCCGTGCCCTTCCTGGTGCTGCTGCACGGGTCCCTTCCGCTCGCACCCGACTCTCTTGCCGGAGACCCTGCCACGCCCGACATCTCCAGCCCTTACAAGAGGGACGCCTATAAAGGGGACGGTTTCGATGCCGTCGTGAGGAAACCCCTCCGGAAGCTGGCTCTGGCTGCGGCGCTTCTGCCGCTCATTGCAGGGGGCACGGAGGAGCTGCAGGGGGGTGTGTTGGAAGAGTGTGACAACAGAGAGAAGTGTGACAACAGTGAGATTTGTGGGGGACAGGGCCAGTGGGGAGCCTTGGAGCTAGTGAGCCCCTCGGCGGGCAGCAGCGCTGCAGATGCCATCTGGCGAGCTGGCAAATTCCCTGGCTTGCTCATATCCCCTCGCTCACTCCAAAACCCTCCCTCATTCCCAACCCCTCACTCACTCAAATCCCCTCACTCACTCAAATCCCCTCACTCACTCAAATCCCCTCACTCACTCAAATCACCTCTCTCACTCCCGTCCCCCCACTCACTCCAAAATCCTCCCTCACTCACATCCCCCTGTGCCCAGCCCATGGCACCCTCCATGTCCCCAGCTGGGGGGGGTATGTCTTTGGCTCCGTCAGACTCTGCGCTGCCCCCCCTAGCTACTGCACACGCCTCCCTATCTTCCCTAACCTCCCCATCATCCCCAGCCACCGTAGCCGACCTCCTGCCTCGTCACCTCCTCCCTCCCGCTGCTGCCAGCAATCACCTCTCTCCTGCGCCGGCTGCCTTGTCTCTGCCATGCGTGGCTGTGAATGGCTTCCAGCCAAAACACAGCTTGGAGGGCAGTGGCCGTGAGCCAACGCACAACTTGGACGGCTGTGGGCGTGAACCAGCGCACAGCTTGGGCGGCAGTGGCTCTTCAGTGGGCTTGGGGACGTCTCAAGGCGTGCGCGAGGAAGGAAGTGGCTCGCTGCTGCACCGAGCAGCATCTCTCGAGCACCTGGTTGGGCCTGCTGCTGCGGCAGATGCAACATCCGCCGAGGAGGAAACGGCTCCTCTGGAGGCGGGGGATTCGGCTGCCACAGGTGCTGCTACCGCTGCCATAGATGCTGCTACCGCTGCCACAGGTGCTGCTACTGCTGCCACAGGTGCTGCTACCGCTGCCACAGGTGCTGTTACCGCTGCCACAGGTGCTGCTACCGCTGCCACAAGTGCTGCTACCGCTGCCACAGGTGCTGCTACCGCTGCCACAGGTGCTGCTACCACTGCCACAGGTGCTGCTACCACTGCCACAGGTGCTGCTACCGCTGCCACAGGTGCTGCTACCGCTGCCACAGGTGCTGCTACCGCTGCTGCAGGGGCAAAAAGGTTGGGCACGCCACCCCTTGTGAGGTGCCACTCTGCTGCAGCGGCAGAGATGGCTGGCTCAGTAGCATCTGGGTGGGTAGATGGGAAAGCAGGTGGGGGGGCAGGTGGTGGGAGGCGTTTTGAGATGCCAAAGGGCGTTAGGCCACAGGGGTATAGTTTGGAGGTGCCTCAAAGCAGGCAGTTAACCAGACGGGCTAGTCTTGGTAGCTGTTATACAACCCATGCCCCTGCTGATGCGCCTCCTTATGCTGCTGCTGCTGCTGTCGCATCAGCAGTCCAGGAGCCGGCAACAGCGGGGGAGAAGCTTCAGATATTGGCGGGGAAGCGGGTGGTGGTGGTGGACGACAACCTGATCAACCGCAAGGTGGCCGGCATGCTGCTGGAGCGGCACGGAGCGCGAGTGACCGCCCTGGATGGCGGGCTCAAGGCCGTCGATGCCCTCGCTCCGGGCCACCCCTTCCACCTCGTCTTCATGGACCTGCAGGTGAGAGATCAAAGGAACTGCCTTTTACGTGGTACAAAAGGGCCTTCCACCTCGTCTGCATGGACCTGCAGGTGGGTGAGAGGGGAGAGAGAGAGAGGGAGAGAGAGAGAGAGAGAGAGAGAGAGAGAGAGAGAGAGAGAGAGAGAGAGAGAGAGAGAGAGAGAGAGAGAGAGAGAGAGAGAGAGAGAGAGAGAGGAGAGAGAGAGAGAGAGAGAGAGAGAGAGAGAGAGAGAGAGAGAGAGAGAGAGAGAGAGAGAGAGGAGAGAGAGAGAGAGAGAGAGAGAGAGAGAGAGAGAGAGAGAGAGAGAGAGAGAGAGAGAGAGAGAGAGAGAGCCATATATGAGCGCACAGGGGGATATGCTGCACCGTCGCTAACCCAACAACCCATTTTGAAGAGAAGAGAGCCATGATTGAACGCACAGGGGAGTTGGGAGCAGGGGGGACGGAGGGAGAGGAGAGGCAGCCGGAAACGGCGCAGGAGTCACAGACGAAGGGCACTGCTAGCATGGTACAGCATCCCCCCCCAAGGCCCAGCATACCCCCCCACCCCCAACACCGCAGACTCGAGTGCTTGCAAATAGCGTTGAACGCACTGCGGAGTTGGGAGCAGTGGGGCTGGCGGGAGGGGAGACGCGGCCGGAGACGGCGCAGGAGTGACAGACGCAGGGCACTGCTAGCATGTTACAGCATCCTCTCCCAGCAGACTCGAGTGCTGGCAAAGACACATGAATGAACGCACAGGGGAGTTGGGAGCAGGGGGGACGGATGGAGGGGAGAGGCGGCCGGAAACGGCGCAGGAGTCGCAGATGCAGGGCACTGCTAGCATGGCGGCTGCTGTCGCCACACCCACCAGCAGCGGCTGCTGCTGCGAGCCCAGCTGAATGGTGGTGTAGAAACCACTGCCGAGAGGGGGTGAAGGGAGGGGAGGGAGGGGAGGGAGGGGAGGGAGGGGAGGGAGGGAGGGAGGGGAGGGAGGGGAGGGAGGGGAGGGAGGGGAGGAGGGAGGGAGGGGAGGGAGGGGAGGAGGGGAGGGAGGGGAGGGAGGGGAGGGAGGGGAGGAGGGAGGGTGGGGAGGGAGGGGAGGGAGGGGAGGGAGGGGAGGGTGGGGAGGGTGGGGAGGGAGGGGAGGGAGGGGAGGGAGGGAGGGAGGGGAGGGAGGGGAGGGAGGGGAGGGAGGGGAGGGAGGGGAGGGAGGGAGGGGAGGGGAGGGAGGGGAGGGAGGGCAGGGAGGGGAGGGAGGGGAGGGAGGGGAGGGAGGGGAGGGAGGGGAGGGAGGGAGGGAGGGAGGACCTTATTCGCCACGACTTCCGATTGGGACATCACCCCCCTTCGCGACTCTCGCCAACCACCCCCCCCCCGCCACGCACCCCGCCACATCCGCGATACTTTCGCCACCTGCCTCCTCACCCCCCTGCCCCGATTGGCGGGCGACCTGGACTCTGTGCAGGGTTGGCGCCTGCTGGTTTTCCTCCCCCGTCTCACACTCCGATTTGGCACCAGGCGAAAACCTGATTGGGTATGGGAGCAGGCGTCTCTCCCCACCACACTTGGGGGCCTTGGGATTTCCAACCCCGCCGTCGAGGCGGGCACGGCGTACCTCACCTCAACCGCTGCCACTGCGCACCTGCTGTGCGGACTGCTGCCCGCGCTCCCCGTTGCGGTGTCCAGCCTCATTTCTCTCTTCGAACCCGACCCCGCTGCCGCTGCCCCACTCCCGCGAGGAGCGGAGTGCCCCAGACCCGTCCAAGCTCCAGCGCGCTCTCGCTCTGCACGTCCAGGCAGAGCGCTTTACTGCCCTCCGGGAAGCCACCCGCAATCTCCCTCTGAACCCGCTCCAGGGGCATACTCAGCGCCTCCTGTCCCTCATGAAGCCGGGGGCGGGGAACTGGCTCCACGCCCTCCCGCTCTCCTCATCGCTCCGCCTCTCCCTGAGGCACTTCTCCACGGCGGTTGCGTTCCGCCTGGGGCTCCCCCACGCCACCCCTGGCCGCAGTGACTGCCGTGAGCGCGTTGAAATCCTGGACCCACGCCTGCCCAACCATCTCCTCAGGTGCCGCCAGGGCCCAGGTCGCACCGGCACTCATCACGGGTTGCGGGACGAGTGCGCCAAGATTGCGGTGGAGGGGGGGTTCATCACCCGCATGGAAACCAACCTCTTCACCCGTGTCGCAATCCTCAGGGCCGACGTCGCCATCCGGCACCCTGACACGGGTGCGGTTTGGCTCTGTGACGTCACCGTGACATACCCGATCTCTCAGGACGATGAGTTTGCTCTGCAGGGCAGTGGATGGGCCGTCCGGAATGCCGCCAGGGAGAGAGAAAACAAGTACCACTCTCCGACAAAGCCGGAGCGGGTCGGCTTCTTTGCTTTGGCGGCGGAGACCTATGGGCTCACCTCCCCTAGTGTCTTCCAGTTCCTCCGGCAGTGCACCGAGCTCGCCGTGAAGAAGTACCTTGGGGCTGCCCCCAACTCTAGGGAGGCTGCCAAGCTGTTCCATGAGTACCGACAGCGGTGGTCGGTGACTCTCCAGCGCGGGCAAGCCGTGGGCCTCAATACCAAGTCCAACCTGGCCCTCGCCGCAGAAGAGTGGCCCCTAGGCGATGCCGCTGACCCACTCCCCGTGGGGGACCTTCTCCAGATCTTGGAGCCGGCGCTCGGGGACACTTAGGGACCTCAGCTCATACCTTGGGTGTGTCTTGTGCTTGCCTTGTACGTGCCTTACCGTACATTGCGTGTACCCATTCCCAACTAATACAAAGGATGAATTGAGGGAGAGACAGATGGGTCAGAATGGGAGGAACATACAGATAGCTCGCCCCTTCCACCTCGTCCTCATGGACCTGCAGGTGGGGGGAATTGGGGGAGATGGATGGTTAGACCTTGCTCGTCCCTCCAAAATGGCGGCATTGGATGGGTTGGAGGAGGCTTTCCATCTTCATTGTTTTCCCCATGCCTTTTTAGACCCCCCTCCCCCCGCATTCCCCCAGATGCCGTGCACGGATTGGTTAACTCATTCTGTAATTCATGCCATAATATTTTTGCCGTGTCGTGCATTCTGTCCCCCAGATGCCGGGCATGGACGAGTCACCTCAAGGTGACTCTCATGGCTAGACGTTTTCCTCTCCCCCCTTGCTCCTCCCCCCCAGATGCCGGGTATGGATGGGTTGGAAACCAAATCCTCACTGGTTACCTCATGCCCATTTCTCCCTCCCCCTTTGCTCCTCCCCCCAGATGCCAGGGATGGACGGGTTGGAGGCAACTCGGAGGATTCGGGCGCGGGAGAGGGCGAGGGGCATGGGGCATGTGCCCATCATAGCGCTCACAGCGGACGTCATTGCGGGCACGCGCGAGCAGTGCTTCGTCGTGGGCATGGATGCGTACCTCTCCAAACCCCTTGAACACACCCACCTCGCCAACGCCGTGTGGCACTGCCTCGGCCAATCGTAGAGACACGCACCCTAAAAGCTCCAACTCGCTAATGGTGTCTGGCACTGCCTCGGCCAGGCCAGTCATATAGCCCCGTAAAGTTGGGGTATGTGCCGATAATAGTGCTCACAGCGGGTGGGTATTGGCTTGCCAACGCATAGGGACATGCCGTATAGTCACAACGCCATTTGGCTCTGCGTGTCTACAACTACCGGTGTTGGTGTTGCTTGTCCAACTCATAGTGGCCTATAGGCATGCATGGGATATCAATATATATATACATATATACATATATATATATATATATATCTTTATTTATATGTATGTATATGTAGGCTATGCAGGTGCATTACTCTGATTGGATACTAGTGTAGAGAGTACAACCCATTTCTTGTACTTCTTGTCAACTTATACATATCATGCATGTAGGAGTTCTAGTCTAGTATCGGTGTGTGCTCCTAGTGAGTACAACCCAACTGCTATATGTTCCCTGTTTCCCTTTCTAGTCAATCATTCTCATATGCTAACATGGTATCGAGCAGGTTAGGTCCACCCACCCGCTTCCGCCCGCGCCCTAGCCTCTCGCCTCCCCCTACCTACCTAGCCCGGCCCGGCCCTTAGCGCCCGCTCGGCCTGTAGCGCCCGCCCGCCCCTTAGCGCCAGCCTGGCCCCGTCGCTCTCCCCTGGCCCCGTCGCGCCCGCCTGGCCCCTGTCGCGCCCTCCTGGCCCCGTCGCGCCCTCCTGGCCCTGTAGCGCCCTCCTGGCCCCCGTCGCGCCCTCCTGGCCCCCGTCGCGCCCTCCTGGCCCCTGTCGCGCCCTCCAGGCCCTATAGCGCCCTCCTGGCCCCCATCGCGCCCTCCAGGCCCCGCAGCGCCCTCCTGGCCCCCGTCACGCCCTCCAGGCCCCGTAGCGCCCTCCTGGCCCCCGTCGCGCCCTCCAGGCCCTGTAGCGCCCTCCTGGCCCCCGTCGCACCCTCCAGGCCCCGTCGCGCCCTCTTGGCCCTCGTCGCGCCCGCCTGGCCCCACCGCGCCCGCCTGGCCCCACCGCGCCCGCCTGGCCCCAACGCGCCCGCCTGGCCCCGTCACGCTCGCCTGGCCCCAACGCGCCCGCCTGAACCCCCTAGCGCCCGGCTGGCCCCCCCCACCGCGCCCGCCTAGTCTGCTGCGCGCGCCGGCCCCTCCTCGCGCCCGCCCGACTCCTCCTAGCGCCCGCCCGGCCCCTCCTAGCGCTCGCCCGGCCCCTCCTCGCGCTCGTCCGGCCCCTCCTAGCGCCCCCCCGGCCCCACCTAGCGCTCGCCCGGCCCCTCCTAGCGCCCGCCCGGCCCTTTCCTAGTGCCCGCCCGGTTCCCCTAGCGCCCGCCCGGCCCCTCCTCGCGCTCGCCCGGCCTTTCCTCGCGCCCGCCTGGCCAGTTGCGCCCGTCTGTCCCACAGCGCCTGCCCGGCCTCTCCTACTGCCTGCCCGGCCCCGATACGCCCGCCCGGCTCCTGCGGCCCGCAACTCCCAGTGCCCGCCCGGCTCCTGTGGCTCTTGTCGTCTGCTTGCCGCACCGGAGCGTCTTGCCGCTGTCCTGTGGAGCTGTGTCACAGTGTCCCTATGTCGCTGATTCTGCACGATGGCTGACTTCGTCCTCCGACTAAATGCGGAGGGCCACGCGGTTGACTTCGCCGCCTGGCTGTCCGATCTCCGCCGTCACCTCACAGGTCAGCGTCAGGATGGGCACTCCTTGGTTGTCCATGTTGATGGCTTGCTCCCCAGCCCCCCTGCACCTGCTCCCCTCCCTGCAGACCCCACCTCTACTGAGCGTGAGGCTTTCTCTGCTGCTGCACTTGCCTGTGCAATCTGGGACTCTCGCGATGCAATTGCTCAGGTCGCTATTAGTCACGCCCTCCCTGTGCCTAAGCGTTCGCGTTTCGCTACAGTTGATACAGCCAAGGCTTACCTAGATGTTGTAATTGCTCGCTATTCCACGCCTGCCTCCGCTACTGCAGGCCGCCTGCTCTTTCCTATGCTTTTCCCAGACCTTGCTTCATTCCCTACTGTTGCTGATCTTGCCACTCACCTGCGCGCCCTCGAGTCTCGCTACCGCACTGCTAGCACTGCTGCCCAGCTCACTGCGCTCCCTCCCCACTTCCGCATGACCCTCTACTTTATCGCTATGCGCCTGCCTGACCGCCTTGCTAGTGCCCGCGACCACATCCTTAGCCAACACCCGGGTGACCTCACCGTGACAGCCTTTTTCACCGCCCTGACCGAGATCGAGACTCGCCAGCGCACTATCGCTCAGTCAAGCGGTGCACCGACAGTCTCTATCTTTCACGGCTGTGCCCCCTCCCAGTACACGTTTACTGACATTTCGGCTGCGGTCGCCACTACAACCCCTCTGACCGAGACTGCCGCTGCCGTGCACTCGCAGCAGCGCCCCCGCCGCGCCGGTCGTGGCCGCCAGGGAGGGCGTGGTGGTGGAGCTGGTGGTAATGGTGGTGGTGCCGGAGACAGTGGTTCTACTTAGGGGACTGCCGCAGCAAGTTAGGAGCAGCAACCGTTGCCCCAGCAGCAGGAGCAGCCGCAGCAGCCGTCGCAGCAGTCGTAGTCGTCGCCGCAGCTGTCCCAGCCCTAGCCGTGGGCTCGTCTCCCCCCGGGTTGGCCCGGCACCTCCGTAGGTGGTGCCTGTGGTGGCGGCCCGCGCAGCTTGGCGTCTACCGGCAGCTCCGTTGGTGTGACCTGCCAGTACCAGCTTCAGACCGGGCCTCTCCGCGGCACTCTGTGCTGCCGCCCGCACCCGACCGCCCGCTGTTTCCGCCGCCTCGACGATCTCTTTCGTCGCCGCTTTGGCCCGGCCCCGGACCTCCCCGACTGGCACAGCCTGCTTCGTCAGGGCGTGCCAATCTTTGAGTTAGATATGGATCAGATAGGTGCTGCTTTGCATGCCTTGTATGCTGACGCTTCTAGTGTTGCTGGATCTTATTACCCTGTGTACTCTAGTTTAGGCGTAGCACCCTTGTGTAGCTTAGCCTCCCCTGCTGCGTCAGGCGTAGGACTGCCTAGTTTGCCTAGCCTAGTTTCTGCACCGACTTCGTTCCCGGCCTCCGCTACTGCCTCACTATCCTTCACCATCGACTCCGGTGCTTCTGCCTGCTTCTTCCGCGACCGCTCCACACTCACGCCGCTTGCTGCGCCTGCTGTTGTCGCTCTCGCTAACCCCTCCGCAGGACCTGTCGTCGCTCGCAGCTCCACTTCCCTTTCCTGTCCCGTCGTTCCCTCGGGCTCTCTTACAGGCCTCCACGTTCCCTCGTTCTCCAGGAACCTGGTTGGTGTCGACCGTCTTCAGGACCTCGGCGTCACCACTACGTTCCTTGGGCACGAGCGGTTCGCTGTCTGTACCGAGGCTGCCTCACGTTCCCCCCTTGCGACGTTCCCCCGGGACCCGGTGTCCAGTCTGTTTACCCTCGACACCGCTTCCCCCCCGGTTGGTGCGTCCTCCCAGGTCGCTGCAGCTTGCTCGTGTCGGTCCCTCACACACCCGTCCCTTCTGTGGCACCACCGCTTAGGTCACCCTGCTCTCCTGCGCCTGCGTCACATGTCTCAGCACGGTCTTGTCTTAGGCCTCCCCGAGTCGCTCCTCGCACTTCCCCCCTCGCCTGCGCCACCGTGCACACCTTGCGTCGAGGGCCGGCTCCGACGTGCCCCTCACTCCTCCTCGCTTCGCCCTGCTACTGCTCCCCTTCAGATCCTGCACCTGGACGTTTGGGGACCCACCCCCGTCCCCGGACTACGCGGTGAGCGCTACTTTCTTGTGCTCGTCGACGACTACACGCGCTACACCACGGTGTTTCCCCTTGACCGGAAGGCCGACGTGCCCGACGTTCTTGTCCCGTGGGTTGTGGCTGCGGGTCTTCACCGCGGTCTCCCTGTGTTGTGTCTCCATTCCGACCGTGGCGGCGAGTTCGCCTCTGGTCGGCTTGGACAGTTCTGTCGTGTGGAGGGCATCACCCAGTCGTACAACTTTCCGGAATCGCCACAGCAGAATGGGGTTGCTGAGCGCCGCATCGGCTTGGTCATAGAGGTTGCTCGTACCTCCATGATTCACGCCGATGCCCCCCAATTTTTGTGGCCGTTCGCTGTTCTCTACGCTGCTCACCAGCTTAACTTGTGGCCACGCTCCCAGCAGCCGCAGGTTTCGCCGACCCTTCTTTGGACGGGGTCCCCCGGTGACGCGTCTGCATTCCACGTCTGGGGCTGCCTTGCTCACGTTCGTGCCTCTGGCACGGACAAGCTCACTGCCCGCACTGTCCCCTGTGTCTTCGTCGGTTTCCCCCTGGACTCGTCTGACTGGCTCTTCTACCACCCGCAGTCTCACCGCTTCCTTCACTCTCGTGACGTCACCTTTGACGAGTCCGTCTCCTTCTACCGTCGCTTCCCTCACCAAGGTCTCCCGGTTTCCCCCCCCCTGTTCCTTGCTCCCTCTCTCCCGGTAGCCCCTGCTCCCCTTCCGCCTCGTTGTGCCCCGTCTGGTGTCTCCCATGTCACTCCCCTCCCGTCGGTTGTCCCCGTTGAGGAGTCTGCTGACTCTAGTGGTCCCCTCGGCCCGTCTGTGCCGCGCCCCCCCTCCCCGATGTCTCCCCCTCCTCTGTCACAGTCGCCGTCACTGTCGTCGCCGCCACCGCCGCCGCCGCCACCGCCGTCGCAGCCGCCGCCGCTGCCACCGCCGCCGCCGCCGCTACCGCTCTTGGCCTCTGGAGGTGCTGGCGTTGAGGAGGGTGCTCATCCTGCGGCCCCTGGCGTGGTCTGCTCCGGAGGGTCTGGGGGTGCCGCTGGTGCTGGAGGGAGTTCTCGCTCTGGCGGTGTTGGTTCTAGGGGTGTTGGTTCTCGGGGTGCTGCCGTTGGGTGTTCTCACGGCGGTCATCGTGCCCCTGCCGGTCCGAGGGTCGGGCACCAGCCGCTGCCGCAACCGCCGCAGCCGTCGCAGCCGGTCTCTGCTCTTCGCCTACTCCGCCTTCCCTCTCCTGGCCGCTCGCCGGTGTCTTCCCCACCACCTGCTCACCTTCCTGTCTACGGCCCTGTGTTTCCGCCGCCAGACTCGTCTCCGGCCCGTCTTCCTCCTCGTTCCCCTTTTGTGTCCCCTCCGCTGTCTCCTGACCCTACACCTTCGTCCCACGTTTGGTCTCGCCGCCCCTCACGTGCTCGTCCCATCTCTCCTGTCCTGCGCTCCCACCCTATGTTGCTCCATTCTCACTCGTCTCGTCCTCCCCTTCTCCCGTCGCCTCCTCCCTCGTCACTTGTTGTTGCACCTCCCCGCTGTCTGACTTCCTCCGTGCCACTCATCCCCTTGTCCCTCGGGTTCTTGCCTCTCTTGTTACCGACCCGTCTGTTCCTGTCTCGCGCCTTGACGCGCTTGTCGCTGGTGTCGCTGACTTTGCCTCTACCCGCCGCCTTGACTACGCCACCGCTCTGGTCTCTGACCCTGCCCGTCCTCCGTCCGTCGGGGGTGCTCCTTTCCTTGGCAGTGACGTTCTAGAGGACAGGCAGTACGAGCTTGCGTTCCTTTCCGAGGCTGCTCCCCATCTCTGCTCCATGCTTCTAGTCCCAGAGGGTGACCTAGACGCCTTCGACATCCCGACCCCTCGCACCTACGCTGAGGCCACCTCGGGACCCTGGGCCTCTCAGTGGATAGCTGCCGTGGAGCAGAACATGACATCTTGGAGGTCCACCGGCATTTACGTCGACGCAATTCCCCCTCCTGGGGTGAACATAGTCGATGGCCGCTGGCTCTTCAAGGTGAAGCGCCCCCCTGGAGATCCGCATGTCTTCAAGGCGCGCTACGTGGCTAGAGGCTTCAGCCAGCGCAAGGGCGTAGACTTCTTCCAGACCTTCGCCCCGACCCCGAAGATGACTACTCTTCGGGCGCTGCTACACGTAGCAGCACAGCGGGACTACGAGCTGCACTCCCTCGAATTCTCTACTGCCTTTCTTCAGGGCAGCCTACACAAGCAGGTCTACCTGCGCCGACCACAGGGCTTCACTGGTACCTTCCCCCCTGGGACCCAGTGGCTTCTCAGGCGCCCGGTCTACGGCCTGCGCCAGGCTCCTCGCGAGTGGCACGACACGTTGCGTGCCACGCTAGCAGACCTGCAGTTATTTCCGTCCTCTGCTGACCCCTCGCTGTTTGTGCGTTCCGGCCAGACTCCGTTCTACATCCTTGTCTACGTAGATGATCTGGTCTTTGCTACTGCTGACAGGGACGCACTGGCCTCCGTGAAGGCCGAGCTTCTGAAGAGACACACCTGCACTGACCTTGGAGAGCTGCGTCACTATCTTGGCCTGCAGATCTCTAGGGACAGAGCAGCACGCACCATCACTCTGACACAGTCACACTTGGTGCGTCAGGTCCTTCAGAGGTTTGGTCTTCAGTTCTCCTCCGCACAGCCCACACAACTACCAATAGACCATGGGCTCTCCGCTCCTGTTTCTGAGGAGCCAGTACAGCCCAACGGCCCCTACGCAGAGCTGGTGGGCTGCCTCATGTACCTGATGACTTGCACTCGACCAGATCTCACATACCCTCTCAGCATCCTGGCTCGCTTTGTGGCCACCGGCAGACATCGACCACAGCATTGGTCGGCCGCTAAGAGGGTTTTGCGATATATAGCAAGTACATCAGGCATGGGGTTAGTGGTAGGAGGACACAGGGTGGCAGCAAAAGTTTTGTTTCTACCCTGACCATTTCTGAGTGCGTAGACAGTACTCACTTGTTCCTATGGCCTATGCGCGGCAGACTCCATGCGGGCCAAAACTTTGAGCATTGCCTAAGCTGATGTCTGGTTTCCTGACTCGAGAAACAGAATTCCAAGCTAACTTTGTTTTTCAAGGGTATCCGGATCTGGTCTTTAAGAGCTACTTTAGGGGAGTGGATACCCTCTCAGCGGTACCCCTTGTGAAAATACTGGGTGTGAAATTACCGCGGGCTAGGTGTACTTTCAGATAGCTCAGCGCGAAATGCGGCACCTGGAACTCACTTCCCAACCAACCACCGGCAAGGCCGCCACCAGGTGGTTTTCGAGGAATTGCAGCATCGTGAGATGCTTCACTCTCTGAAGCGGTTTGCTTGAGTGTTGGAACGGTTCAGTAAGGTGCGGCGAGTAAACGAGCTCATACGACAAGCCCTAGAAAACAGCATTTGCCTAGGACAGTGTTTTCTGGTCAGAGATGGCGAATCGCGGCTTTACAGCGCGTTATGTGGCACAACCCGCCTCCCAGCCGCACCCTGTGGGTTTCCACCTGAACTTCAGGTTCAGCATTGGACCGCGCATCTCTGAAGATAATCGGATCCTCGAAGATTGCCGTTGGACCAGCGTCATCTGGCGCGACACGAATCATTTATTTTCGAGAGAGCTTTCCGCGGCAAATGGCAGCGACCGTACCTGGTGCTTCCCTTTCCTCCTTCCTCTGCCACCTGGTGCGTCCCCTTCCTCCTCCCTGCTAAGCGGATGCCACGCCGTCGCCGCAGCCGCAATAACAGCCGCTGCGTTTTTTCTGTTCTTGTATTTTCTCTGTCTGTGCTACGAAATTATCAGTCCTCTATACGTCTATAAAGAACTGCTATTCCACCCGTGGCACATCAACCGTTCATCTTATCATTCCACTCTGTTCGAGCATCTCTATCCCTTTTTCGCTCCACTCTGTGTGTAGAGATAGTGCCGTTTCCCGTAGTAGTACTACTGCTGAAGCAGCCATGCCCAGACGTCGCGGCGAGGCGCTACTGACCTCGTGAGACCAGCCTTCATCATCCTCACTAGTGAGTTCCCAATGCTGGTCCTTGCCTTAGCGCGTGTTGCTGGTCACTCGGGTCGTTCAAAACCTTGCCTCAGGCTGAGTCCGATCGTCCGTTCTGACAAGAACGCCACCAAAAGATGGTCGAACAGTTAGGTCGGACAAAAAAAGTGACCAACATCAGATGGCAGCGATTACAAGGCAGATTTTGAAATCCCGACTAGCTTTGGACGAACGTTTTTTCCCCCCCTGAACCAATATGTTCTCCCTTTGTCGTTCTCCCGTGCCGTTCTTCCCATGTAGTGATGCTGTTGGTCGTTCCCAGTGTGGTTGCCAGCCGCCGTCGGCTCGTAACCTCCAATACATTCTGTAGGACGCACCCTGCTACCTAGTGGCACATTGTACCTAGGAGGCAAGAGGGCTCGCCTCAGCGGCACTGTCGTTGGTAGTGTGGCACTGTGGGCCCACTAGCGTATTCGACTCCTGTCCTGTGGTTTCTTCACTGGTTCTCCCTCCCCAACCCCCGCTTCCCTTTCCCCCTCCCTCTTTTTTCCCCCTCTCGTCCCTCGGCTGCTTTCACCACAAGCCAGTGATACCTACCGTACCGACAAATGCCTGATTCTCTTTCTCGGTTCTCCGTGCTGCGCAGATCGAACATTGTCCAAGCCTGCCTCGACGGCTGGCGATCTGACCGGCACATGTACCCTGGAGGCTAACGTGTAAGCGTCATACCAGACCACGTAAATATGCGTTATGTGATTCTGTTAAGTAGGTACGTGCATGAGAGGGGCCGCTTTGATAGGCGAAAGTCTTACTCATTGTGTGGCTGCATATCGTCGCCCCATAAATTGAGTCTTCCATCCTGCTTATCCTGTCTGGGATTTAACAACTGGTTTGTCCTGTGTGTCTCACCCCCCTCCCCTTTCAGCACGGCCATATCCCAGGTTTCGTCCTTTCTCTTCCGCGTTACAAGCGTCCCCACCACTTCAACCACAACATTCTCCTACCCCGGTTACTACACCCTCAGCACCTGCTCACTCGTGTCGCAGATCCCCTGCACCTTTGCTGCTGAAACGACCAAGGGCTACTGGAACTGCACCCTCACAAAGAAGTACACCCTCTCTACCGCTTACCAGCCGGTGAAAAGAGTTAAGACTCTAATCAACGCTGGGGTGTTCACAATGTTGAAACAGCTAAGGAGCTAGGTAGCCATGAGAAATGTCGAGAGGTTTAGCTATGTAGCAAGATAGGAGAGAAGTTGGTGAGAGAAAAGAGAGTCACTAGGAAAGAGAGAGAGATACAAGAAGGGGGGTTGTCCCCTCTACAGTAAAATCCAGTAAAGTAGCACACCTACCAAGCCTAAACATATATTTATATATATACAATATATAATTTGATACACCCCCTAGGCTTGGTAGTCGTAAGCCCACCCAACACGAAACAGCCCCAAACCCTTGCACCCCCATGTCCCGCAGCAGGTGTGACTTCTACCCCTCGTGCGAAGCGGTGTTACCCCCGGCGGGTGGCAGCAACGGCGTCAGCGGCGGCTTTTACGACGACAGCAGCAGCGGCGGAGCGGGTGGCGGCAGAGCCAGCTGCACCTGCATCGCCGGCGGCGGCTTCGACGGCGGCGGCGGCGACTGAGAAGCTCGCGGCACCCGGCAGCGTGGCACGACCCGGCGGTGTGGCACGACCCGGCGACGACCGAGTATTGAGTCAGCAGCTGCGGCTGGAGTAAGGGGAGACGCAGGGGGGAGGGGGGGGGTGTGCTCCAGCAAGGCGCCCGTGGCTGGCGCACAGGCTGGCGTGCGGGCGTCATGGCTGGCGCCTAAGACAGGGCGCTGGCCGCAACCGTCCGTGCGCTGGCGCGTCGAGGCCGCCACGGCAGCGCAATGGGGCCGCCATGGCAGCACGACGTGGCCGCCACGGCGGCGCGAGATTGACGAGGTCGCCGCGGCAGCGCGGCGAGGCCGCCACGGTTGCTCGACGAGGTCACTGCGGCAGCACGGCGAGGCCGCCACGGTTGCTCGACGAGGTCACCGCGGCAGCGCCGCGAGGCCACCACGGCGGCGCGAATGTGACGGGAAGAGAAAGCGTACGCTGCGGAAGCGTGATGACAAGGCGTAGCAAGAACGTCCTGCTCTGATACCATATTGAAACAGCTAAGGAGCTAGGTAGCCATGAGGAATGTCGAGAGGTTTAGCTAGGTAGCGAGATAGGAGAGAAGTTGGCGAGAGAAAAGAGAGTCACTCGGAAAGAGAGAGAGATACAAGAAGGGTGGGTTGTCCCCTCTACTGTAGGATCCAGTAAAGTAACACACCTACCAAGCCTAAACAAAAAGATGACACACAAACCCCGAGGATTTCTATGTAGCAGCCACTGTAAACGGCACGGAGGAGTGAGGGAGCATTGGGGCAACTGTACTGACATACGGTGTTGACATGGCATGGCATCCCTCCTGTCCTTTGAATCTGTGGCAGCTGATAATAACTTAACTGCAGAGATGCTGTCAAGTGTTGTTTAGGGCTTCGGGTTTTAGGTTATGTGTTGGTTTTTATTCCCCTCGCCGCATCTGCTTTGGTCATAGATGCCATGCCTTTCGGTAGGTAGTTCATCTGCTTGATGCGATTTGGTTTGCATGTGGTGTTGTAACAAAAGAGCTCCTCCTAATCACCTGTTCATTGGCAAACACTGCTTGCTGTGACTAGGTATGTTAGCAACTGCTCTTGTTTAATGTAAGAGTTTCCCAGCCTGTACGACATGGAAGCACCATGGCTGCGCATCTTCTGCTGTTCTTCGTTGCATTCCCTCTGGCAGTCCTCCCGCTCGCCACCTGCCCCTCACCTCACCCCCCCCACCCCCTCCCCTTACCATCCAATGTCTGGTGGGATAACGCCCGGTGTTACAGGTTTCCCTGCGGGCTTTGAGTCTCAAGTAGGAAAGAAGCAAAATAAATAGGATAACGCCACCACCAGCATAACCTGTGAGTTACCACAAACAGCAACAGCAGGAGCAGTACCCAGCTTCCCTCGCGGGGAGAGCTCAGCTCAGGGCAATTTGGAGCACGATAGTGCACTGCGTCCCCAAAGCCCTTCTAAATTCTCTGATTTCTGAGGAACTGATGGTAGAGTCGCCCAACAATCTCTCTCGAAGAAATTTCTTCCCTTTCCAGCAGCAACCTGTCAGCAGCCCCTTCCTGAAACCTCCTGAATCCTGAACCCTCCTGGATCCTGACCCTCCTTGACCCTCCCTACTTTATCGCCCCACACTCTCTCCTCCACCCCTTCACCTCCCAGGATTCACCTCCCTCGGCTCACCTCCCCCGCCGCAGCACCACTCCCTGCCTCTCCCTCTCCTCCTTCCGCTGCTTAAACGCTGCCACCTGCTTCTCCAGCTGATGCACCCAACGGGGTCCGGGCGGGTGGGAGGGGGGTGCAGAGGATGGGAAGGGATGCAAGCAGGGGTATGAAGGCATGACAAGGCATGTACGGACGGCATGGAGGCAGGGCTTCGCTTGGGGCACATCAAAACCTTGTGCTGCTGCAATGCTGACTACCTGCCTGCTTTGCCAGCTGATGCACTCACCCAAGTGGGGAGAACGGTGGAGGGGGGAAGAAGGGGATGCATGATGCATCGTGCAGACAAGGTAGGGAATGGAAGCGCGTGAAAGGAGGACTTCGTCTCAGGCACCCCAAACCTTGGGCTGCTGAAACGCCGTCACTTCCTCCAGCTCTTGCATGTGGTGATGCCACCATCTCTTCCTCCAATGAGTGACGATCCTTGGCATCTCACTTACGTGCTACCTTCTCCAGCTTGTAGATGCGACGCCACCTTGAGGGGTGACATAAATGACACATGACTGCACCTACCCTCACGCACCTGCACATTGCGGTTGCGGCACGTGACAATGTTGTCCACCAGCGTGGCCACCTTGAGGGGCGAGGGTGATGAACGGCCGTGACTGGGGTGACATGAAAGGTCATGCTACATCTACTCTAACCTGCACCTTGCGGTTGCGACAGGTGATGGTGTTGTCCACAAGCGAGTCCACCTTAAGGGGTGTTTCAAACGGCCATAATGCTTTCAGACTAAAGAATATTGCATAGTCCCACCTGAGCGTTGAGAACTCTAAAAAACACTGCGTCTAGCCTCACTTGGGCGTTGCGGTTGCGATAGGTGATGATGTTGTCGACCAGCGTGGCCACCTTGCACCGCATCTCAGCTATTTGCTGCATCAGCTCGCGCTCCCTCTCCGACGGCAGCTCCACCTGCACACGCCCATGTGATTATACGAGTGAAGAACAGCAATGACAATAACGAGGGTGAAAGAACAATCACGAGGGATGGAACAGTTTCAACCCCCATCTGCTGCATCAGCTCTGCTCCCTCTCTGACGGCAGCTCCACCTGCACACACACATGTGATTACAGGAGTGAAGAACAACAATGACAATAACGAGGGTTGCTTGCTCTCATGACAGTTTCAACCCCCATCTGCTGCATCAGCTCCGCTCCCTCTCTGACGGCAGCTCCACCTGCACACCCGTGAGGTCATAAGAGTCGGAAAATGTGAATAATCAAAGTCCCTCGAATGACAGGTTCACCCATATGCTGCAAAAACTCGCGCTCCCCCTCCGATGGGAGCCACACCTTCACAAATGTGGAGGACCCATCTACAGAATGAAGACCCCGGGTGATTGTAAGAGTGGAAAAATGGGAACAATCAAAGTCGCTCTAAAGACAGGTTCACCCCATATGCTGCAAAAACTCGCACTCCCCCTCCAATGGGAGCTGCGCCTTCACAAATGTGGAGGTGGAGGACCCGTCCACAGAAAAAGGGACGGTTCAGCCCCATCCTTGGCATCAGCTCGTTTTCCCTCTCATGTACAAAAAACCACACCTGTATATTCATGTTACCAGGATAAAAAATGACAAGGATGACAATAACAAGGATCATCTGCTCTAACGACAGTTCAACACATCCTCCAATGGGAGCACCACCTGCAGGTGAGTTCATAATTACCAGCAGCAGATCACGCATATGATGGTAATAATAGTGAATGTGATTGCAGGGAAAATGTGGGGCTGATAGCAACAGATTTGATAATTAAGGGAGTGAGGCGGAAGAGCCATGTGTACCTTGATGCCTCCCAGCAGCGCTGCTGACTGCTCCGGATTCTTTATTTCTGAGAGGGGGGCAGGAAAGCGTGTGGGAAGAGAGATGGCGTGGCAGAGGGAGCACAAGGATACCTGAGCTGCATAAAAAACTGCTGCACAGCACAGCGTAATCTGATTTTTGAGGCGCCTAAAAAATCGTCTCAAGGATACATGAGCTGTGTAAAGTGCTGCTGCGCAGCACAGCGTAATCTGAGAGCATCAGCTGGGGATGGATGTTATGTTAGGTCAGGCTTGAATATGGACTGGTGTGAAAACACAACTGGACACGTTTGAACTGAACTGAACTGCTGTTGAGGCGCCTCAAAAGAGGTCAGCAGGGAAAACACAGTTAGACACGTGGAGCTGAAAGCGGTGAGATGCGTGACATGGGGGACATTCGTTCAAAGCACATACTCCAGAGGAAGACCTCTCTTCACTGTTTTCTTGTTTCTGTGATTTTTTTTTTTCCCATCGAGGGATTCTCACCTGGATGCGCGTCCGAAAGCTCCTTAATGAGCGTAAAGAGAATCTCCTGCGGTCGAGTAACACATGGCGCGCACAAAAGGAGCAAGGAAGACAAGTAAGAAACGGGGAGGGTTGGAGAGTCAGAGAAGCAACCCTAGATGAGGGTAACAAGAGTTTTCTGCACTCCCAGTAGCACATGATGCAAAAAAAAAAAAGGGCGCGAGGAGCTGGAAGGGGGGGGGTTGAGGGTAGAGTGTGGGGGATTCAGGAAACCTCTCAAAATCCTATCCCGAACGAGGGTAAAGAGAATCCCCTGCGCTGCAGTAGCACATGGCACGCATAGGGGTACTACAAGGTGTCTAAGCAGCCATAAGAGACACCTCAAAAGACGGACATGTTGCTCAGATGCGTGTTTGAGTATCCCTCTTAGGTGAGGTATACGTGATGAGGGCATCGGACACACACAGCTCAGACCATACCTGTTGCTCGGATGCGTGTTTGAGTATCCCTCTCAGGTGAGGTATACGTGATGAGGGCATCGGACACACACAGCGCAGACCATACCTGTTGCTCGGATGCGTGTTTGAGTATCCCTCTCAGGTGAGGTATACGTGATGAGGGCATCGGACACACACAGCGCAGACCATACCTGTTGCTCGGATGCGTGTTTGAGTATCCCTCTCAGGTGAGGTATACGTAGACCTGAATAACCGAATACGAATTCGAGTTCGAGTTCCATATTCGAATCATTGTCGAATATCACGATACAAATTATTTGTTCGAGTTGTGCTTGGAATTCAAATACGAATTCGAGTCGAATAGAGTCGAGTCCAAATCGAACACGAATGCACTCGAGTTTTGGGCATATGAGCGTTTACAAGCTTTGTGAAGTTACCCTTGGAGTTTGTTGTCGGTTTTTTGGGTGTTGCCGTGCTTGCAGGTTTGCACAAGAAATTGGAGGGGTTGTACAAGTGGTAAGTGAAGCTTTTTAGCAGCACCGCGTAGCAACGAAAGCATTAGGAGCCAGGTATGTCCAAACTCGAGTACTAAAACGAGTACTCGAGTTATGGCTGGGCGAATACGAATTCGAGTCGAATATCGGAAGTAGAGTTTTGGCGAGTTTGAACAGCCACATAGACTCGATTTGTATTTGAAATTCGTCCGAATTCGAATACAGTCTACTCGTTTTCAGGTCTAGGTATACGTGATGAGGGCATCAGACACAGTGGCAGCAGAGAAAGCAGAGGGTCGCGGGGGCAGAAGCGGAGAGAGCATCGCTCCAGGCATATCGGAACACACAAGGAACACCACACCTGTTGCTCGGAGGCATGTTTGAGCAGCCCTCTCAGGTGGGGCACCGTGATGAGGGCATCGGACACAGCGGCAGCAGAGGAGGCAGCGGAGCGCGCAGGGACAGCACGGACGGTGGAGGGCAGGGAGAGCACTGATGGGAGGGACACTCGGCTGGACGGCTGCACAGAGAAGAGAGGTGGGGGTGGAGATGAGAGATAGGGCAGGAGAGAAAATAGGAAAGAGAATAGAGGGCAGAGTTGGTTATTGAGGGTTTAGGAGAAACCAACTCTGCAAGGGAAGAGACGTGATAGAAGAGGGGAATGACAGGTCTACAGGAAGAGACGAGGGGATGGTTGTTATGGCAATATTTTGCACGAGCGCTAGGAATAACAAATCCAGACTCTAAGCAGAAAGCCTTGAACCTGCAACAGCTACGTTGGCTGGGTTCTGAGTGCTCTGAATAACCAAACCAGGAAAGGTCAGAGATGGGCGCTGCCAGGACAGGGCGTTCCTGGGGAAGGCCGTTTCTAGGGAACGGCGTTCTAAGGGAAGGGCGTTGCTGGGGAAGGGCGTTAACAGGCAAGGGCGTTGCTAGGAAAGGGCATTGCTAGGGAAGGGCGTACCTGGTTTGATACGCTTTGGAGCATGAAGGAGAGAGAGGGCATTGAGGAAGGGGGCAGTAGAGCGCGAGAGAGGGCGGAGGAGGAGGCGGACGAGAGAAGAACATTCTTCATTGGCCTGAGGGATGCTACCGACGGGCTCTGATTGGTGGAGAGGGTGTGGAGAAAAAGGGGGGGAGAGAAGGGAGGGGGGGGGGGGGTGTGGATTATGGAGTGTGGGCGTGAGGAGGGTGGGGGAGAAATGAGAGAAAGAAGGGGTCATTGGTGACAGATGACCGAATGTTGCATTCGCCAAATGTTGCATGCACAGGTGGGTCTACAATTGTGCGCATGCGATGGTATGGTTGTGATGGTTGGTACAGGCTGTGCAGTATGATGGGTGCACTGGCAAACCAGAGGCAAAGAGAGCAACACAGCAGAGGCAAGGAACGCAAGAGCAAGGAACGCAAGAGAAAGAAACGCAGCACATCAAGAGCAAGGAGAGCAGCTCACCAGTGGCTGGGTGCGGGACGAGGAGGCGGACGATCGCCGACGAAGCTGCTGCTGCTGCTGCAATAGCAGCTGCATGTGCTGCTGCTGTTGTGGGTTCAATGGTCTCCGCACACGCGGACCAGCCAGCAACACGGAACCTGGTCCCGCACCTGACGCACCACCTGCTGCAGCTGAAGGAGTGGAGACGGCTGACGTGGGTGAGGAGGAGTTCTGATGGAAGGAGCAGGCAGGGTGAGGGAGAGAGCAGGTGTGAGCGGGTATGAGCGGGTGTGAGCAGGTGTGAGCAGGTGTGAGCGGGTGTGAGCAGGTGTGAGCGGGTGTGAGCAGGTGTGAGCGGGTGTGAGCAGGTGTGAGCGGGTGTGAGTGGGTGTGTGTATGTGTGTGAAAGAAGGAAAGAGGAGATCCACTGGAGCATAGCCAGCAGGCAGTGTTGAGCATCGCCAAGTTCACCTCATTCACTGTTCGTCTCAGTTCACTGTCCGTCTGCACTGTTCATATCAATTCACTGTTCATGTCAGCTCACTGTTCGTCTCAATTCCACTGTTCATCTCATTCCAATTATTACCTGCAATGATGGCCGGCGAATGCCCTGCACACCCACAGGTCCACCTGCTGCTGCCACTGCTACAGCCGCCCCTGCTGCTGCTACAGCCGCTGCTGTAGCTACCCCTGCTGCCCCTGCTGCTGCTGGTACAGATGCAATCGGGGTCACTTTTGAGGGAGTGAGAGGAGGGACAGGGAGGGAGGAGGAGGAGGAAGAGGAGTGGAGGGAGGGGAGGGAGCCGGAGGAGTAGGTGGAGGTGGAAGAGATGCGAGGGGAGGGGGCTGCTGCTGCTGACAGAGGGCCGCTCGCCGGAGCAAGAGAGTCCTGCAGAGGGAGAGATTAGACAGAGAAGGGAAAGCTTTTGAGTCGACTCAAAAGTCATCTGACAGAGGGCCGCCTGCATGAGCAAGAGATTCCTGGAGAAGGAGAGATGGGAGCATGGAAATGCTTCTGATTAGAGTCAGGGAGATGGGAGCACAGAGAGAGGAGGAAGAAGTCCGAGAGCAGAAGAAGGAGAACGAACGGAGAATGGAAGGAGAATGGAAGGAGAACAAAGGAAGGTGCGCATGCTGGCGCAACCAGAACACACACACACGCACATGCACAGGAGCAAAGAAACACCTTTCTGAAGGTCGGGAGGTGGGATGACCCAGCAGCAGCAGTGGCTGTCACATTAGAGGGGGTGGGTGGGCGATTGGGCGGCAGCACTGCCGAAGCTGCCTGCCCTGGCTGGCGAGGCATGAGTGAGCTGCGGAGCACAATGGGAACCATGCTCTCCTCATCCGCATCATCATCGTCCGTGGTCACTGAGAACCGCCCCTTCTGCTGCACGCCTCCTCGTCCCGCCACTGCCGCCCCTCCCCCTCCTCCGGCTCCTCCTCCACCTCCGCCTCCTCCACCTACCCTCTCTTCCTTCCCCTTCTCCTCCCTGCCCCTCAGCTCCCTCGACCCTCCCTCTTTGCTCCTCTCCTCCCTCCTCTTCTCCTCCTTCTGCTTCCCCATTTCACGGGAGAACGGCCCGCTTTCCTTCGACTTCTCTTCTTTCGTCCGTGCCTCTTTCGAGCGCTCAGCCTTCACCCTCTCTTCTCTCGATCGCTCTTCTCTCACCCTCTCCTCCTTCCCCTTCTCCTCTCTCCCCCTCTCCGCCTTGGGCCTATCATCCCTCCTCCGCTCCCTCTCCTCCCTCCCCTTCTCCCTCTCCCTATCCTCTCGAGATCCATCCCTCACTCTCTCCTCTCTGTGTCTCTCCACACCCCTCCTCTCCTCCCGCCCCATCTCCTCCCGCCCTCTCTCCTCCCTCACTTCGGTGAATCTACCAGTGGTACCAGCTGGGCCTTTAGGAGTGATGAGGGCACTGATTGAGGCAGATTCATGTGGGGAAGGTACACCTGGGGCAGGCTGCAGTGGGCCAGAGCAGGGTCTCAACGAGGCGCCTTTGCTCGGAGTAGAGCCAGCAGATGAGCCTGCACCAGTTGTCCCTGCTGTGGGAATGGACGACGCAGCAGGCGCAGCAGCAGACGTAGCAGCAGGCCCGAAACCAGCAGCAGTAGCAGAAGGCACAGCACCAGCAGCAGCACCAGAGGCAGCAGAAGCAGCAGCAGTGGTGGCCGCAACCGCAGGAGGAGGAGGGTCAGCAGGGAGAGAGGCAGTGGATGAGGTGGCAGCAGCAGCAGGTGCGGCAGAAGGGGCGGCGGGGCTAGGATGAGCAGCGGGGGGAGACGATGGGTCTACAAAGTCTGACGGGTCGTCCACAGGCTCAAACGTGAAGCGGGAAGGGAGCTTCCCTGGGCGGAAGGCCTTTGCGCCTGCATGCCTGCAAGCCAGGTGGAAGGTGCATGTCACAGGCAAGGGGAGATGGGGAGACGAATAAGCGGAAGCGGGAGAGGGGTGGGTGGCGCAGGTGGAGGAGCGGGAGGAAGGGAGTGGTGGGTGGCCAGAAGGGGCACATAGTGTGTGGAGGCAAGGACATACGAGGCGGCCCTTGACAGAAACTCAAGTCATGGACAGATAGTGCGCGTGGAGGCATGGATACATTAGGCAGTCACCACATATGCAGCTCTGTGAGGCGTAGTGTGGAGGCATTTACATTAGATAAGCACGTGTGACGTACCTATCTCCCTCGTCCTTCACTAGAAACCGGTCCACTACAATCACGCCTGCTGCTGCCGTGGCCTTCTCTCCCAGCAGCGGCCCGCTCTTTGCTTTCAGCTTGACCCCCGCCTGCCCCTCCGCCCCCACTCCACCCCCCTTCCCGCCATCCCTGCCCACAACGCCGCCCTCCCTCTCCCCCCCTCCTGCAACAACACCAGCGGCTTCTGCTCCTTCCGTTCCTCCTCCTGCTCCTGTTCCTGCTGTGACTCCTCGTGACAGCCCAGCAGCAGCAGAAGTAGGAGCAGCAAGCCCGCCTGCAGCGGGCATAGCTGACCCTCGCTCTGGTAGGGGTCCGGACGACCATGCCTTTGCTGCCAGGGGAACTGATTCTCTCGACGCTGCTCCAGAAGCAGCAACACCAGCACCACCGGCAGCAGCAGCAGCAGCAGCAGCAGCAGCAGCATGAACAACCTTCTCTGCTGCTGCTGCTTCAGCCCCTAGGCTCGCAGCTCCCTCCCCACCACCATGTCCGTCCCCTCCGGCGGAATCCCCTCCCCCTTCAGCACTTCTTCTCCCCTGTGCTTTGCTCTCCCCCCGTTGCCCCCGCTGCCATGACCCCTCCCCCGGCCCTTCGTCCAGGGCAGGCAGGGGGCCGGAAAAGAACTGCCTCGCGCGAGGCTCGTGGATGGACGCACCTGCTGCGCGGGTGCTACCTGCACCAGACGCCCCGGGACCAGATGAACCTGCTCCAGTGCTAGTACTGTTGCCGCTACTGCTGCTGGTGGCGGCAACAGCCACAGCAGAAGCTGCTGCTGCTGGAGTGCCATACACATTCGCTGAAGCAGCAGCAGGTGCAGCCACAGTGGCAACTGAATCAGCAGCAGCGGCTGCAGCAGGAGAAGCAGCAGCAGCAGCAGCAGCAAGTGAAGGAGCAGCATCCGGAGTAGCAGCAGCAGGAGCAGGGAGAGGGCTGCTGACACTGTCCAGCACTCGCCGACGATCCAACGGCCCAGATCCCTGCTTCGCCAGGCCTCGAACCGGCACTGTGCTCGCTGCTCCTGCTGCTCCTGCTGCGTCTGCTGCACCTGTTGCTGGAGCGGCTGCTGCTCTGCTGGCGGCTAGAGAGGCGGAGGAAGGGGGCCACGGGGAAACGTCAATGTCGCTGTCGGACTGATCGCCCTCGATCACCTGGAACCGTCCCCTGCGAGAGGGAAAGGGATTTTTTTTTTTAGAATTCTAAAAAATGACTCCATTGATCGCCCTCAATCACCTGAAACCGTCCTCTGCGAGAGGGAAAGGGGAAAAGGGAATAGCGAGAAACCATACGCATAAAGATGATTAAGGGTAAACGAGTTCCGATACAACGGTGTACTTCAGGACGGGGGGGGGAGGGAGGGGGGGGAGGAACAACGGACGGACTGAAACGCGGACTGACTGCGATTACAACATTAGAACGATTCAGCCCTGAAACTAGTCAGCATGAAGCTCGTCAGCCTTCAAAAGAGTCAGCCCTAAAAAGGAATGAGCCTTGAAAAGGAACCAGCCCTAAACCGAGTCTGCCCTGAAACAATTATGCCCTGAAACTCGCAGTCTATTCTAGAACGAGTCAGCAGTGTACCGCGTGATGGGAGCTTTAGGCGGCATTGCTTCGTTGGTAAGGGGTGGGCCTTTCAAGATAGCCTCCTTAGAAATAGCAGCTTCTTGGTGTCCCACGATAAGTTAATCCCTTGGAGGCAGCGGTTTGAAGACCACAAATATGTGATCGTTCCCTTTCAGACAGCATTTGGCCGGTCGGGATGGACGTAGCAGCTTTGCATTGTTCGCGAAACGGCCTTTTACGACCCCGGGCATGAGCGGCTTCTTAGATATACCGCAAAACGTTTTTTTGACTTTTCGAGCTATTATAGCGACGAATACGGGAACGCTCCCCGTTGTGAGGTGTACAAACATGCGGGCTCCCAAACAGAAACGCCGACTCCCTAGAAGCACCGCCGACTCCCCGCAGCAACGCCGGCTCTTCCCGCAAAGAGCGGGACCCAAACATTAGTTGGGATGGGAATGTAGTAGAAGTGGCAAATGGTTGGATTGGAGCTTGGCTTCACACAACACCAAGGCCGCAAAAGCTGGGAGCAGGCGTCAGCAATTTGGCACGGCAACACCGAGGCTGTGTCTAGCGCCTCAGCCCTGTCTCAATAACAGCGCTGTGCTGTAGAAAACTGGCAATCTACAATGCCTGCTCCCCCAGTAAGATTCACAAAATGGCAATATATCAGAAGTAAACAAATTGGTCCAAACGGCATTAGAGGGGAAAAGCTCTATTCCATGCCATTCCATCTTGTTTAATACTTTTTTTAATACAGTACATCTCATGACACGACCGCATTGTTGATTGCAATTCCGTGCCTACATGAGTCATGACTCTACGACTTGCCAAGACATTACCAGACGGCGTTGGCGAGGTGGGTGTGTTCGAGGGGTTTGGAGAGGTACGCATCCATGCGCACGATGAAGCACTGCTCGCGAGTGCCCGCAATGACGTCTGCTATGAGCGCTATGATGGGCACATGCCCCATGCCCCTCGCCCTCTCCCGCACCCGAATCCTCCGAGTCACCTCCAACCCGTCCATGCCCGGCATCTGGCGGACAGAATGCACGGCACGGCAAAAATATCATGGCATGAATTACAGGTTGAGTTAACCAATCCATGCACGGCATCTGGGGGGATGCGGGGGGGAGGGGGGTTTGAAAAGGCATGGGGAAAACAGTGAAGATAGAAAGCCTCCTCCAAACCGTCCATGCTCGGCATCTGGGGGGGAAGGTGTTGGTGGGGGAGAGGAGCCAAGAGGGGCAAGAATAAGAGACTACGGAAACCTGTGACAAACGAGACGGTGCTTCAAGAACCCTGCACACTTTGCTCCAAGCCCTTATCGTTATTTGTTTTTAACAATCCGCCCACCAGGAGGTTCATCCCCTCACCAGAGAGCCCATTCTTCTCATCTCTCGCGCTCTCACCCACCTGCAGGCCCATGAAGACGAGGTGGAAGGGACGGGATGACCCTCCCATCTCTCGCTCTCTCACTCACCTACAGGTCCATGCAGACGAGGTGGAAGGGCCTTTTCTCTCACGTAAATGGCAGTTCCTTTGAACTCTCTCCTGCAGGTCCATGAAGACGAGGTGGAAGGGGTGGCCCGGAGCGAGGGCATGGACGGCCTTGAGCCTGCCATTGAGGGCGGTCACTCGCGCTCCGTGTCACTCCAGCAGCTTGCCGACCACCTTGCGGTAGATCAGGTTGTCGTCCACCACCACCACCCGCTTCCCCGCTAGTACCCCCAGCTTCTCCCCCGCTGTTGCCGGCTCCCATGCTGCTAGTGCTGCTGGTGATGGTGCTGGTGCTGGTGAGAGTGACGGTGATGGTGATGGTGTGCATGTGAGGGCCAGAGATAGCTTAGCAACAGAAGAAGAAGATGAGGCAGGATTGGGAGAGGTCGATAGAGTGCATGGGGGAGAGAAGCATGCAAAATCGGGCCTGCTCTCCAAACCACTGGTGCGGCCAGAACCACCGCCGCCAGAAGCACCACCAGCAGCTGCAGCAGCGGCAGTGGCAGCAGAACCAGCAGCACCACCACGGGCATTGGTGCTCTTCCGTATATTTCTCTGGCTTCCATGAGACCTTAAACCTGCCCTTCTTGCATCTGATGAGCCGTTCATCTCTCCCCTTGTAGCAGCTCCGCCCGTGGAATGGGCACGCTGCACAAGAGGACCAGGACTAAACAACGCTGCCAATGAATCTGTCAAATCTGCTGCTACAGATGTGGCTACAGCAGCAGCAGATCCACGTGTATCTGTAGCCGCTACAATGAGGTGCTCGAGAGAAACTGCTCGCTGCCCCAGTGACGCACTGTTGCCATCGATGCATGAATCCTGCTCCGGCTCAAGGCGTGGAAACGAGCTGTTGCCATGCATGCATGCATCCACCGCCACCTCACGGAACACCAATGAGCCGCCACCATGCATGTCTTGTGCTGCATCCAACTCCCCCCCGTCCACGCTTCTGAGGGGGGGGAGAGGTACCTGACATGGGAGAGAACTGACTGCTGACGGCAGAAGCAGGGGGGAGGAGATGAGGCAGCAGGAGCGTGGCTAGAGTGGCTGGAGTGGCTGAAACCCCAGCTGTTGGTCACGTGTTGGCTGCAGCAAGGACCTTGGCCCCCTCGAATAAGGCATGATTACAGGAGGTTTGTGGGCTTGTGCTGCTGGATGTGACTGGAGAGGCGGCCGTCGGTGTGGTTGGGTTTGCAGAAACGGGACGGCCAGCATTGGAAACAGGGGTGTTGGGAGTGGTAGGAGGGGTGGGAGTGGTAGGGGTAGTGGGAGTGGTGGGGGTGGTGGAAGAGTTGGTGTGGGAGGAGCGCATGACAGCTCGAGGGGACTTGATGGCTTGCCAGATGGCGGCAGCGGTGCTGCCCGCCTTGTGGAGGGCCGAGGGACTCACTAGCTCCAATGCTCTCCACGGGGCCTGCCCATGCCTCCCGCTACTGCCACGGTTGCCACTATTCTCGTTATTGTCACACTCGACAGTTACAAAACGGTGGCAGGAACGTGGGGCGTCTGCAGGCACCTGCTGCTGCTGCCCCTCCTGCGACTGCTGCTGCTTGCCCTGGCATCCCAACAACAACCCCCTGCCCTGCCATTCTGATGGCAACCCCCCGCCCTGCTATGCCGATGGCAGCCCGCTGCCCGGCCAAAAGAGCATGAATCTTATCCGCAGTCACTCCCAGCCGCCGCATCATCTCCCCTTCCACCACCACCGCCCTGACCCACCCCCTCCTCTCCGCCTCACCCAAACTCCTATAGTGCACCCCCTGCTGCCCCTCCCCCTCTTCATTCCCATCCTTTTGCCCCTCCCCCTCTTCCCCCTGGTGCCGCCACCACCGCTGCTGCCACTGCTGCTCCTCCTCCCCTCCCTCCACTCTTTCCTCACCCGAGGAGCGGGCAGTGAGGGAGAGGAGAGGACAGGAGAACTGGCGGGGAGGAGGAGTAGGTGAGAGAGGGGAGGAGGGGGTGGAAGATGCAGAGGGGGTGGCAGCAGATGGATGGAATGCAAGCGGGGCTACAAGAATGTCCGGCGAGCCAAAAGGCTCAAGAGGAGGGGAGGTTTGGGTGCTGGTTAGCCATGTGTTGGCCTGTGAGGGGTTAGAAGGCGTAGGCATGTGACACGTGCCACGAGGTGGGGGTGTCGCCAGGGACGCAGCTCAAGCGGCTCCAATGCAGGGTTGGGAAGCAGATGGTGCGAGCTGTGCGAGGGGCGCAATGTGTGCGTGCCGTGAGAGATGCTTTGAGACTGTGAGAGAGGCCGAGCGAAGAGGAGGCGGAGGAGCCAGAGGAGTGGGTGGGTGCGGTGTTGATGCAGTTGTGAGAGATATACTGCATCGAGCTGATGGGAATTGGCTGGTTGAAGGAAGCGGAAGATGCACCGGCAGCATGTGCGAAGGAGATGTGGCAGCAGGAGAAGGTTCATGGCACTGTTGTCAGCGTATAGGACCGGGGCAGAGCTAGGCCGCTCACCTAAGTCTGTGAGCAAGAATGTCAGCCAGCAAAGGCTCCTTGCCGCCATGGCACCAGCATAGATCTCAGCCTCACAGCTAGACTGTGCAACAGACGACAAGCGGGTGGACCTCCACAAGATGGCACCTGCACCAAGGCTAAAGGAGTAGCCCTGGGAGGACCTGAGCATCTCAGCGTCGTCTGCCTATGAAGCGTTTGTGTGCCCTGTAAGGAACACTGGCCTGCGTCCTCCTAGCACTAGCCCCATGCCCGATGTACTTGCTAGATAACGCAAAACCCTCTTAGCAGCCGACCAGTGCTGTGGTCAGTGTCTGCCTGTGGCCACAAAGCGAGCCAGGATGCTGAGAGGGTTTCCGAGATCTGGATGAGTGCAAGTCATCAGGTATATGAGGCAGCCCAACACCTCTACGTACAGACCACTAGGCTCTACCGACTCCTCAGGGACTGGAGCCGAGAGCCTATGATCTACTGGCAGAGGTATAGGGTGTGCAAAGCAGAACTGAAGGTCGAGCCTCCGAAGGACCTGGCGCACCAAGTGTGACTGTGTGAGAGTGATGGTGCACGCTACTCTGTCCCTGGAGATCTGCAAAACAAGGTGATGGTGCAGGTGTGTCTCCTCAGCAGCTCGGCCTTCACGGAGGCTACTGCGTCTCTGTCTGCAGTAGAGAAGACTAGGTCGTCTACGTAGACAAGGATGTAGAACGGGGTCTGGCTAGAACGAACGAAGAGAGAAGGGTCTGCACACGGTGGGAGGAACTGCAAGTCAGATAACGTAGCACGCATTGTATCGTGCCACTCGCAGGGTGCCTGCCGCAGGCCTTAAAACGGGTACCGGAGGAGCCACTGGGTCCCAGGGACGAAGGTGCCGGTGAAGCCTGGCGGGCGGCGCAGGTAGACCTGCTCGTGCAGACTGCCCTGGAGAAACGATGTAAGTCGATGGAGTGTAGCTCGTAGTCACGCTGTGCTACTTTGTTGAGCCTCGCCCAAAGAGAAGTCATCTTCGGGGTCGGGGCGAAGGTCTGAAAGAAATCAACACCCTCGAGCTGAATGAAAACTCTAGCAATATAGCGCACCTTGAACACTGTCGGTTCTCCAGGAGGGCGCTTCACTTTGAAGAGCCACCGGCCATAGACTACATTCACCCCAGGTGGGGGAACTGCATCGTAGGTGACGGTGGATCTCCAAGATGCCATTTCCTCGTCCATGGCAGCTATCCACTGAAAGGACTAGGGTCACGAGGTCGCCTCAGCGTAAGTGCGAGGGGTCAGGATGCCAAGGGCGTCTGGGTCACCCTTAGGGACTAGCAGCATGGAGTAGAGATGAAGAGCGGCCTCTGACAGGATAGCATGCTCATACTATCGGTCCTCCAGGACGTCAGTGCCAAGGGCAGGAGCACCCCCGACGGACGGAGGACTGGTAGGGTTAGAGACCAGAGCGGCGGCGTAGTCAAGGTGGCGGGAAGAGGCAAAGTGAGCGACGGCAGCGACAAGAGCAGAGAGACTCGAGACAGGAATAGACGGGTCGGTAACGAGGGACACAAGGACCTGAGGAACAAGAGGACTGGTGACACAAAGGAAGTCAGACAGAGGAGGCGAAGCGACAACAAGCGATGACGGAGGAAGCGACGAGAGGAGGGGAGGATGAGACGCGTGGGAACGAAGCAACATAGGGTGAGAATGCAGAGCAGGAGAGACAGGACGAGCACGAGAGGCACCGTGAGACCACCAGCGGGAGGGGGGGTCGGGTCAGGAGACAAGGCTGGAGAAACAGGAGGAGATCGGGGTGGGAAACGAACCAGAAAGGAGTCCAGTGGAGGAAACTCAGGGCCGTAGACTGGCGGGGGAGGCAGCGGAAGGGGAGGCGCAGGCGGGTGGTCAGGGGAGGGAAGACCGAGGGGGCGAAGGGCGGACACCGGCGGCGACTGCTTCTGCTGCTCCATGCCAACGCCAGAACCTCTAGCCGCACCACGGCTACCTCCAGGACGCTCCACGACAGCACCCGCAGTACGAGAACCCTCTCCAGCACCGTTGCTAACCCCAGGACTGCCGAGACAAGCCACAACAGTACCCCGAAGACTAGCACCCCCAGAATCAGCACCTCCAGAAAGAGAACCCTCTCCAGCCCTAGTGCCACCCCCAAGACCGCCGGGACAAGGCACCACAGTACCCCCAGGACTAGTACCCTCCTCAACGCCCGCACCCCCAGAGCTCGCGGACCCCTGCGGCGGTAGCTGCTGCGGCGGCGGTGACTGAGGCTAGTGCTCTGGCTGCGACGGCGACGATGGCTGCTACTGCTGCGGCGCCGATGGCGGCAGCTGCTGCGGCGGCGGAGGAGGAGAGAGCGTGGTGGACACAGGTGGTGAAACCAAAGTCGCAGGATCCCAGAGTCAGCCGGCTCCTCCACCCGGACAACCGACGGGAGGGGAGTAACGTGAGACACACCGGACGGGGCAGGATGGGGAGGAAGAGGAGCAGGGGCTACCAGGGGAGTGGTGACCAGGAACAGGGGTGGGGAAACCAGGAGACCTTGGTAGGGAAAGCGGGTGTAGAAGGAGACAGACTTGTCAAAAGTGACGTCGCGAGAGTGAACGGAACGGTGAGACGACGGGTGGTAAAAGTGCCAGTCAGACATGTCTAGAGGGAAACCAAGAAAGATACAAGAGATGGTGCGGGCAGTGAGCTTGTCCGTGCCGGAGGCATGAATGTGAGAGAGGGAGCCCCAGACGTGGAACGCAGATGCATCACGTGGGGACTTGGTCCAGAGGAGGGTCGGCGAAACCTGCTACCGCTGGGAGTGCGGCCACAGGTTAAGCTTGTGAGCGCCGTAGCGAACAGGGAACGGCCAATGAAAATGGGGTGCATCGGCATGGATCATGGAGGTACGAGCCACCTCCATGACCAAACGGATGCATCGCTCAGCAAGCCCATTCTGCTGCGGGGAGTCCGGCAGGGTGTACGACTGGGTGATGCCCTCCGCACGACAGAACTGGCCAAGCCGAACGTAGGCGAACTTGCCACCACGGTCCGAATGGAGACGAAGCACGGGCAGGCCTCGGTGGATTCGCGCAACTACGACCCACGGGATAAGAACTTTAGGCATGTCGGCCTTCTGCTCTAGGGGAAACACCGTGGTGTAGCGCATGTAGTCGTCGACGAGCATAGAAAGTAGCGCTCTTGAAGCGGCCCAGGGACAAGGGCTGGGCCCCAAATGTCCAAGTGCAAGGTCTGGAGTTGCGCAGTGGTGGGGGGCAACGAGGAGGAGTGAGGAGCACGGCGCAGCCGGCCCTCATCGCAGGGCGTGCACGGCGGCATGGGGGAGGGAGGGAGGGCAAGGAGCGATGCAAGGAGACCTAAGACAAGACCGTGCTGGGACATGTGACGTAGACGGGGGAGTGCGGGGTGACCTAGGCGGTGGCGCCACAATTGGGACGGATGAGTGAGCGACTGACACGAGCAAGCCACTGCGACCTGGGAGGGAGTGGCCACCTGGGGGGAGGCTCCCACCTGGGGGGACGCGGTGTCTAGGGTGAACAAGCCAGACACCGGGTCCCGGGGGAACGTGGTGAGGGGGGCACCAGTGGCGGCCCTGGTACAAACCACATACCGCTCGTGTCCAAGGAATATAGTGGTGACGCCGAGGTCCTGAAGACAGCCAACACCAACTAGGTTCTTGGAGAATGAGGGGATGTGCAAGCCTGTAAGAGAGCCCCAGGGAACCGCCGGATTGGGAAGGGTGGTGGAGCTACGTGCAACTACCGGAGCGGACCTGAGAAGGGGTCAGCAAGCGCTACAACGGCAGGTGCAGGAAGTGGCGTGAGCGCAGTGTGGTCGCGAAAGAAGCAAGCGGACTTACCAGAGTCTAGCGTGAAAGAGAGCACGGCGGTAGCGACCATAGGAGGAGGAGCTAGAGTGGAGCTAAGGCTATACAAAGCAAGTGGTCCTACGCCTGACGCCGCAAGGGAACCTAGTCTACACACCTACAATATACTCGGCAATACAGGGTAATAGGGTCCAGTTACACTAGAGTCATCTGCATACATGGCATACATGGCAGACCTAATCTGATCTATATCAAGCTCAAAGACAAGGACACGGCGACGCACCTGGCTGTACCAATCGAGGGTGTCCGACGGGGACGAAGCGGAGACGGAAGAGGTCGTCAAGGTGGCGGTAGCAGCAGGTGGCGGTGTGACTGGGATGGTCGCAGACGGTGCCGCGGCGGGGGCCGAAGTGAAGCTGGTACTGGCAGGTGACCACACTAAAACCCGACACCGAGCGGCGCGGCCCAGGCCATCACGGCAGCGGGGGTCCCCACGGCTGCTGCTGCTGCTGCTGCTCCGGGGCATCAGCCCCGGTCCCCTCGTCTGCACCACCGTCCCCACCACCACCTCCACCATCTCAGCCACCCCCACCACCCCCGCCACCCTTCCCTCCGCTACGCCCCCCCTTGGGGCAACGTCCCTTACCCTGACGCAGCTGCGCTGAGGCCGCGGCGGCGATCTCAATAGGCAGGGTTGTCTCAACGACAGTGGCAAAAACGTCCGAGTAGGTGCAATGGGAGGGAGCACAGCCCTGGAAGATAGGGACCACCATAGTACCGCTAGACTGAGCGATAGTGCATTGGCGGGTCTCTATTGCGGACAGGGCGGTGACAAAGATGGTAAGGGCGAGGTCACCTAGGTGCTGACTAAGGAAGTGGTCGCGGGCAATGGCAAGGCGGTCAGGGAGGCGTGTGGCAAGGAATTAAAGGGTGGCGCAAAGCGGCGGCGGGAATGCAGTGAGTTGTGCCTCAGTGCTAGCAGCGCGGTAGCTAGTCTCAAGTGCGCGGAGATGAGTGGCAAGGTCAGCGACAGTGGGGAAGGAAGCAAGATCAGGGAATAGTATGGGTAGGATGAGGCGGTCGGCAGAGGTGGAGGAGGGAGTGGAATAGCGCGCAATGACCACATCTAAGTCTCCTTCGCATTGGTTATAGTGGTAAAGCAAGGACGCTCAGAAAGTGGGAGGGCATGACTAATAGCAAGCTGTGCGACTGCGTAGCGCGACTCCCAGACAGCGCGGACAAGCTCAGCAGTGGCAAAGGCCTCACGCTCAGCAGACGTGGGGGCAGCATGGATGGCAACAGGCACGTCGGAGCAGGGGAGCTTACCATCGACATGGACGGCCAGGGAATGGCCGTCCTTGCGCTGACATGTCAGCTGGCGGCGGAGGTCGACGAGCCACGCCTCAAAATCAACCGCCCGACCCTCCGCATCTAGGCGGAGCACAGAGTCCGCCATCACAACGGCTGCAGCAGCTGACTGCCGCTGGAGGGGGAGGAGAGCGGCGGAGAGAGGTGGAGAGCGGTGGAAAAAGGTGGAGAGCGTTGGAATGCGGTGGAGAGCGGTGGAGGCAGCCGGCGGTAGCGCCGGCGCAGAGGGGAGCCAAGGTCGGCGTGTCGGAGCGGTAGAGCGGCTCGGCGGCTCAGCGACACGGCGTCACGGCGGCACGGCTCGGTGGGAGCTAGGGCCGGCACTGGCTGGGGCTGGCGGAGCTGGGGTCGGCGGAGCTGGGGCCGGCAAGCGCGGGGCCGGTGGGCGTGGGGCTGGTGGGCACGGGGCTAGCAAGCGAGGGGTCAGCGAAACCGAGGCCAGCGGGCTCGAGGCTGGCGAGTGCAGGGCCAGCGGGCGCGGGGCTAGCTAGCGAGGGGCCGGCGATCGCAGGGCCAGTGAGCGCGGGGCCGGCGTGCAAGGGCCGACGCGCGGGGCCGGAAAGCGAGGGCCGGCGGGCAGCGGGCCGATGACGAGCGAGGGCCTATGCGCTAGGGCCAGCGAGCTAGGGTCGATGGGCTCGGGGCTACGAGCGGCTGGCAGCTACGGGCGGCCAGCGGCTACAGGCGACTGGCGGCTACGGGTGGCTACGGGTGGCACGTGGCGGCGGGCGACACGTGGCGGCAGGCGGCCAGCAGCGATGAGCGGTGAGCGGCTAGGAGCGGCGGCTAGCGAGGGGTGGCTAGGAACGGGCAGCTAGCGACGGGTGGCTAACGACGGGTGGCTAGCAACGGGCGGCTAGCGACGAGCGGCTAGCGACGGGCGGCTAGGACGAGGGCTAGGACTAGGGCGGAAGCACGGCTGGGCAGGGAGGACCTAACCTAGCGTGGTACCATTTCAGAGTAACGAATTGACTAGAATGGGAGGTACAAGGTGAGTTTGAACTAGTGTGTTGTACCCTCTAAGAGCATGCTCCTATCTAGCCTATTATGCCACACAAATATGTTTGACATCAGGCAGGCATAACAGTGGATAACAAGGTCAAGTACCGTGAGCCTTTGTGACCTAGGTGGACAATCATCGTCAGACAGCCTAGGAGAGGAGGGCATTTATCCATGCCCAGAGCACTGCTCGCAAGAGCCAGCAATAATGTCCGCTGTGTGCCCTGTGATCGGCACATGCCCCATGTCTATGTGTCTCTATGTCTGGCCGAGGCCCTTCCAGACGGCATTGGCGTTGGCGAGTTGGGATCTATGAGTATATGTGTCTATGAGTTGACAAGGCACTGCCAGACGGCATTAGCAAGTTGGAAGCCTTGCGCGTACATGACTTTACGACTGGCCGACGCACCGCCAGACGGCGTTGGCGAGTTGGGGCCTGTGAACACGTGTCTCTATGAGTGGCCGAGACACTGCCAGACGGCGTTGGCGAGGTGGGTGTGTTCGAGGGGTTTGGAGAGGTACGCATCCATGCCCACAGCGAAGCACTGCTCGCGAGTGCCAGCAATGACGTCCGCTGTGAGCGCTATGATGGGCACATGCCCCATGCCCTTCGCCCTCTCCCGCGCCCGAATCCTCCGAGTCGCCTCCAACCCGTCCATGCCTGGCATCTGGAGGGGTGATGCACAGCACGGCAAGAATATTATGGCATGAATGGCAGATTGAGTTAACCAATCCATGCACGGCATCTGGGGGGGGCGAGCAAGGGGGGAAGGGGGGTTTGGAAAGGCAGGAGGAAAACAGTGAAGTTGGAAAGTCGCCTCCAACCCGTCCATGCCCGGCATCTGGGGGGATGCGGGGGGGGGGGGGGGGGGGAGGGGGTTGAAAATGCATGGGGAAAACATTTGGTTTCCAACCCGTCCATGCCCGGCATCTGGGGGGACGAGCAATGGGGGTGAGGAAAAAAAATAATTAGCCATGCCCGGTGTGGGGGAAATGCAGGGGGGAAGAGGAGCCATGAGGGGCAAGAAGAAGAGAGAACAGAAATCTGTGACAAACGAGATGGTGCTTCGAGAACCCTGCACAGCACACGGCCCTATTGTATCAAACCCCGCGCGATCACTTGACCCACCTGCAGGTCCATGAAGACGACGTGGAAGGGGCGAGCTAGTTGAATGTTCCTCCCATTCTGACCCACCTGTCCCTCTCCCTCTCTTTGCTCACCCACCTGCAGGTCCATGAAGACGAGGTGGAAGGTGTGGCCCGGCAGCAGGGCATCGAGCGCACGCTGCCCGCCATCCAGGGCGGTCACTTGCGCTCCGTGTCGCTCCAGCAGCTTGCCGGCCACCTTGCGGTTGATCAGGTTGTCGTCCACCACCACCACCCGCTTCCCCGCCAGTACCCCCAGCTTCTCCCCCGCTGTTGCCGGCTCCTGTGGCGCTTGAGAGACTCCAGTGCTAGCAGTGGGGGGTGCGACACGAGTGCTGCTAGCATTTTGGGGCGCCTCTGAACGTGACATGCTCCTGCTCATGGCTATGGCAGCAGCAGCTGGAGAGGGAGCAGCTGGAGAAGGGCTAACACGACAAGAGTATGCAGCAGAAGCAGTGGGAAGAGCCGGAGAGCAAACAGGTGCAGCCGTGAGATGCTCGTCTGGTGATGCTGGGGTGATTTCACAAGCCCTGTTGCTCATTCCTCCACTCATCCCTCTGCTCACCACTCTTCTCGTCTCCTTCACTCTGCTACTCTCTTCGTCCATTATATTATCCGTTGCTACCACATGGCTGTTGGGCTCAAACGCAGCATCGCTCCGGCACACCTTTCGGGGCGACAGCATCTTCCAAAGTTTCCGTTCCTTGCTGCAACCCTGCCCCTCTCTGCTCTCTACCTCCCTGCTTTCGCCCCCTCCACTTTCTCTCTGCCTGCCAACCCCCTCCTTGCAAGTATCTTCCATAGAGACACAAGCTTCACAGTCACTGGCAGTATTGGCAACGTTGGCAGTGTTGGCAGTGGTGTCAATGGTGGTTGTTGCAAGCTCAGCATTCAAGTCATTGCTGCTCCGATGAGGTGAGTTGAAGCTATCAGAGCTAAGGTGAGGAGGCAGGAAGAGAGGCAGCAGGGCAGCAGCAAGAGTGTTCCTTCGAAGCGGCTTCCGCACCACAGCATCGAAGCCAAGGGAGAGGAGGAAAGGTACGGTAGCAACAGGTGAGGTGGATGCTGGGGCCCCAGGTGCACCGAACCTGGACACCACCTGGGTTTCGCTGCTGCTACTGGCCGTTCGGCTGCAAGCAGCACTGCTGTAGTTGTAGTTGTTGGAACTGTTATTATAGTTGTTGTTGATGGTGCTATTAGGGTTGCCCTTATGGCTCTGTGTCGCGCCAGACGGTTGCACGAGGTCTGGAGAAAGGCACTCCCACCCATGCAGCAGCACCAGCGCTGGCCGCTCACGCTTCGCCTCCTCCTGCTGCTGCTGCTGCTGCTGCTGCTCATTCTGCTTCCCTAGTTGCTGCTGATCCCCCGGCTGCTGCTGCTGCTGGTCTGGGTGCATAAGTGTGAGAGGGGCGGACACGAGTGCCAGGAGTTGGTGCACATGCAGGCGGCATCGGTTCATCATCTCCTCCTCCACCACCACTGCCACCACCCGCCTTCTTGCCTGCACCTCCTGCACCTGCTGCACCTGCACCTGCTGCACCTGCTGCTGCACCTGCTGCTGCTGCTGCTGCTGTTGGGGCTGTTGGCGTTGCTGATGCTGCTCCTGCTCCTGCTCCTGCTCCTGCTCCTGCTCCTGCTCCTGCTCCTGCTCCTGCTGCTGCGGTATTTCCTGCTGCTGCTGCTGCTTCTGCTGCTGCTGTTGCTCCCGCTGCCGTTGCTGCTGTTGCTGATGCTGCTGCTGTGATTCACTCAAGCACTGCAGCAGCAACGCTGCTCTCAGCTCGCGCCTCGGCCCCTCCATGCTCACACTCACCACCTTCCCACTAGCAGTTCGCATCAGACTAGACTGCATTGACTGCATTCCCTCCATCGCTGCCCCATCCCGTGTCCGGACACCATACGCACCGAAATTGTTCGCCCCATGGAGGCTACAACCCACCCTGGAAAGAGCACCTGCCCCAAGAGGCGAGGGGTGAGGCGGAATCATCCCCCCAGCAGACGCTGCTCTCGCATGCCTCTGAGCCATTGGGCCCACTGCCGAGCCCGCGGCACCGGGTAGGGAAACGCATGGGGTGTCGTTTTGAGGTGCATCAGAAGCAGAACCCGTGACACCGGGTCGGGAGACTTGTGGACTGTCAGGGTCACACGAAATGCGAGGCTGAGGCGACGGAGAATGCAGGGATGGGGCTGGAAGGAAGGGAAGGGAGGGGCTGGACGGACTCCAAGGGCTGGCGGCAGCGGGGAAGGCGAGGGGTGGGCCAGACGGAGGGTAGAGTGAAAGGGAAGGCCCGGAAGGGAGCAAGGAAGGTCCCGGAAAAGGGTTGCAGGTACAAGATGGGCTGGAACGGGGATCAAAGGAGAGAGTGGGGCTGGAGTCAGGGTTGAAGGAAAGAGATGGGCTGGACGCGCCCTCGGCATAGGCCCTCTCAGCTTGCTTCTGGAACTTTCTCCGGAGACTCGGGAGGTCGTTGTGCGAGAGGGACGGGGTGCGAGAGAGGGAGAAGGCGGATGCCAGCTTCTTGGAATGGCGTGGGGGCTTGAAAGACGGGTCGAGAGAAGACCATGTGTGGAGAGGGGGCTGCTGCTGCTGCCCCAGCTGCTGCTGCTGCTGCTGTGGGTCGGCAAAGAACCTACAGATGGGATTTTCAACAAGGCCAACAGTGGGAGAGTCTCCCGAACCACTGCCCCCTGCGAGTGCAGCAGCGAGGGCAGCGTTGCCCGCACATGGAGAGGCGGAAACGGAACGCCTCTCCATGCAGGGCTGCTTCGCAGGGGAGTGGCCTCCCACACTGATGCCCCCTGCCAGCGCCGCAGCCAGGGCAGCGCTAGCAGCGCAGTGAGCAGCCGGTCTCTCAGAAGCAGACATGGAGCGCGGCACAGCGGCCAGCCTGGGAGGGCAGGTGCTTTCAAGGGCAGAGGGGGAGCCTCCCACACTGGCGCCCCCTGCGAGCGCAGCAGCCAGGGCAGCGCTAGCAGCGCAGTGAGCGGCAGGCCTCTCAGAAGCAGACATTGAGCGCGGCACAGCGGCCAGCCTGGGAGGGCAGCTCGGGTCAGCATGGGGGCGAGTTGTAAGAGAGGCTGAACCGAGAGAGGCGGAAGCAGGGGGGGCGGAAGCAGGAGGGGCCGCAGCAGGAGGGGCGGAAGCAGGAGAGGGGATGAGGGAATGAGGGGGGTGGATGTGGGGGTCTTGGGCAGCAGAGGAGGAGCGGCGGCGGCGGTGGCGGTGGAGAGGTTGGGATGGGAAGTGCGGTAGGGGCTGGCTCTTGGCCTTCTTCAGGCTGAAGAGAGATTTTCGAGATGCCTTGACAACGGATGGACTGGTCGCTGCGGCTGCTGCTGCTGCTGCTGCTGCTGCTGCTGATTCGGGTACTGCTAATCCAGGTGCAGCTGTTACTGCTGCTGCGGATTCAGGTGCTGCTGCTGCTTCTGTGGATTCAGCAGCTACTGGCAGGCCGTAGTGGTGTTGGGCGAGGAGGGACGGCAGGTGGCGGAAGGAGGAGCAGTGGAGGGTGGCGATGCCGAGGCGGCGCAGCAGACTGAGAGTCACAGCATGCCGCACTGACCGGTCGTCCACACTCACCACACACAACCCCATCTCACTACCAGCAGCAGTGCCAGCAGCAGCATCGCCTGCAGCAGCAGCAGCAGCAGCAGCGTCTGCAGTGGGATAAGGCCCAGAAGCAGCAGGCGAGATAGTTCCAGTCAGCAGAGGGACAGAGACGTCGAGAGGAGTAGGGGTTACGGGGCGAGGCACGGAGTTGGGGCAGGAGGGCGGGCAGGAGGGCGGGCAGGGGGCCGGGCAGGAGGGCAGGCAGGAGGGCGGGCAGGAGGGCGGGCAGGGGGCCGGGCAGGAGGGTAGGCAAGAGGGCGGGGGCGTGTGCAGGGTGACATCAAAGTAGAAGGTTGTGCCGATGCCGGGCTCGCTGCTGAAAGCGATGCTGCCACCCATGAGAGACACGAGGCGCTGAGAACGGGGGGGGATGGGAGCAAGGAAGAGAATTGGCAGGGGGCGAGACCATGAGGTGATCACAGTAGGATGCGATGCCCATGCCAGGCTCGCTGCTGAAGGCTATGCTGCCACCCATGAGAGACACCAGGCGCTGCCAGCGGGGGAAGGGGAGGGGAAGTACACAGGGAAAAGACTTTAGCCAGGCTCGCTGCTGAAGGTGATGCTGCCGCCCATGAGAGACACCAGGCGCTGCCAGCGGGGTGATGGAGATCAACGGGAGACAAAATTCAAGAAAGAAAATCAGGGAAGCCAAGAGACAAAAAACTTCAGCCAAGGGAGGGGAATTTGGACAAAAACCTTGCTGTGCTACCTTCAAGGCGACAGCAACACACCTTGCAGATGGAGAGGCGAGAGGAGCACAGACCTGGCAAATAGAGAGCCCGATGCCGGTGCCGCCATGCAGGCGGGTGGTGTTGGCATGCGCCTGCGAGTAAGGACGGAACATGCGCCGCTGTGCTGCCATGGGGATGCCCTCACCAGTGTCCTCAACTGCCACAAGCAGCCGCACTGCCTGCCCGGGAGGTAAGGCGCTGCTGTCGCAGTTGCGGCTGGGGTCTGCGGCAGTGGTGGTGTTACAATCGCAACCGGGGGTTACGGAACTGGCGCTGCCGCAGGTGGGGATAGGCATGCCATTATGGCAGCCATGATTGGCCATGCCACTGTGGCAGCAGTGACTGCCCATGCCGACCGTGTTGAGGTCCACACAGTCCCCCATGCCCTCCCACGAGCACCAAGTCTGCACTGCCGGCCGCCCACTCAGGGTCAGAGCTGTGAATTCCCCCGCTGCTGGTGATCCTGCTCTCCCTCCCTTTCCACTTCCGTCCTCCTCCCCTGAGCCGTGCCGGCGATGGTGGAGCGAGTGGCGGCGGAATTTGAAAGATGCTGAAAGCTCCTCTAGCAGGCTTTTCCCGTGGTCCGAGTGGCCATGGTGGCCGTGGTGGGTGTGGTGATGCTGATGCAACTGCTGATGGTCATGGTAGCCGTGGTATCCGTGGTGCGAGTGGTGGTGGGATGTGTTGGCGGTGGATGCTATGGAGTGGACGGTTTCGTCTTCAGAGGCCAGACGGATGACCAAGAAGATGTGGCCCTTGGTGGTGAACTTGAAGGCGTTGCCAATCAGGTTGATGAGAATCTGGAAGGCGAGTGAAAAGGGTTCGTGGGAGGGGAGTGGGGAGGATGAATGAAGAGATTCATGAGGATAGCAATGCTAAAGCAGAAGCTTGTCAAAATCTCTCTGCGTTCACTCACCCCCAATATGCGAGGAGACGGCCACCGAATGTCCCCGATTCAAGGCAACGGTGTGGAAGTTCCACGATGGGTTCTTCTCAGAAGAGGGAATCGCCTCGTGTGTGCAGCTCGTGTTCGCATGCGTGAATCCAGAGGATTTTCCGTTGCCTAACACCCTCATATCCGAAAATGAGCTTGAGTGAGCTCTTTATTACCAACCAACCTCTTTTCGTCCCAACAAGGGGCAAGAGGAAACGTTTCAAGCTCCTCAAGAGGTAGGTTGGTAGTAAAGAGCTCACTCAAGCTCCTTCCTGGACAGGAGGGTGTTAGACAACGGAAAATCCTCTAGGTCCGCGCTCGAGAACACGAGCTGCACGCACAAGACAGCTCCCTCTTCTAAGAAAAACCTCTGTGGATGTGACACTTCCACATCATTGCCATGAATCAGGAACACTCATTGATCTTCCGCCACAAACCACAAGTTCCACAACGCATTTCTCCGCAACGCTCTCCAAAAAAATAGCGCAAGTGCTCCATCAAGCTCCACTCATGCTTACAGCGAGATGCACGCCAAGCCAAGCCTCTCCGCCTCAACCTTGGTCTAGTTCCTAAGGGACTTGCCCAACCCCTGAACCCGAAACACCGGAGGACACCACAACACAAACATCCTGCCTGCAGCGCACATCCTCTCACCTGGCGTATGCGGAGGGGGTCGCCTAAGAGTGTCTCGGGCACATCATCTGCAACAAACGCCGCTAGTTCCACACTTCTCTTCTCCTCGGCGCTCTCGACGAAGAGTGCGAGCACATCGTCGAGCTCGGCGCGCAGGTGCAGCGGGATGCGCTCGAGGCACAGCTTCTCCGCCTCGATCTTGGAGAGGTCCAGAATGTCGTTGATCAGCGCACACAGCGCGCGCCCGCTGCTGCGCGCCGTCTCCGCGTAGTCCAGCTGCGTGCCGTCCAGAGGTGTCTCCAGCAGCAGATTGAGCATGCCTGTAAAGGGGGGGGAGGGGGGGGAGAGGGGGAGTGGGAAGAGGGAAGAGTCAGGAGTCAGCTTCTCTCTGCGTAGTCCAGCTGCATGCTGTCCAGGGTGGTCTCTAGGAGCACGTTCAGCATGCCTCGTGGGGATAGAAATCGGGGTTTGGGGAAGACTATTAGCTTGTCTCTGCGAAGTCTAGTTGCGTGCTGTCTAGAGGGGTCTCCAGACGCTAGTTCAGCAAGCCTCATGGGCCGAGGGGGGGGGGAGGGGGAGGGGTGGGGTAAACATGAGCTCGTCTTGTGGTAGTCTAGTTGTGGGTTGTGTAAGGGTGTCTCCTAGAGCAGCTTCAGTATGCCTGGCGGGTGAGTGGAGACAGGGGGTAAGGACAGGCCAGGGGGGGGAGAGGGGGGAGGAGGGGGGTTGAAGGCGGTGGGATGTTAAGAACAAGCTCAGTTGTAAACTCAAACAAAAGAATCATATTGGCACTCACAAACCCAAAAACAATATTATGTTCAGCCAACCATCAATGCTCACACTTAGATCAGGTTTTGTCATGACCACTCAACCCGATATCACAATCACTCATAATGTCAAGCCAACCCTGATTACAAATGGTCAGGATAAGAGCAACTATTGGAACCGTTTCTACTTGCGCGGTCTTCTCGCTTATGTGCGAATTTCATGCGACAGGATGGTTAGGAAATCGCTCTTGGCGCAGATCGCCCCTTCCGCCATCAGCTTGGCGGTTTTGAGCTCCGCCTGTGCCGCCGCCTACATGTCAAGGTGTCTCGCTCGAGCTTATCCATAAGATGATTCGTCAAGCTCGAGCGAGACACCTTGACTCGAGAGGGATTCCCTCGTTTACTTAATTTTCTTTCACATCACAGTGCAATGCAACACTCACCGATGACGCCGTTCATGGGCGTGCGGATCTCATGCGACATGGTCGTCAGAAAGTCGCTCTTGGCACGGCTCGCCCCTTCCGCTGCGAGCTTGGCGGTTTTGAGCTCCGCCTGGGCCGCCTCCATGTGCAGCGTGTCCGTCTCGAGCTTGTCCATCAGGTGCACCGACATCCACAGCACCAGCACGGATATGGCCAAGATTATAAATGACACCACCATCCACACAAAGGGTGGGCCCGGCTTGGCGTTGGTTTCGGGCCTGCATGAGAAGGAAGGGAAGGGGTTGCGGAGGGGGAAGAGCTTGTCCATCAGGTGCAGCGGCATCCACAGCATGAGCATGGATATGGTGAGGATGACCAAGGAACCGACCACCCGCACGAAGGGAGGGCCCGGCTTCGCGTTGGTTTCCAGCCTGAGAGGGAGAGCATGCGGGATTTGCAACCGGAAGCAGCTAGTCAAGAAGGCGACCTGAGTGCTTTTTGTGAACCTGTAGAAATGTGGTGCTTAACCTACAAACAATAGCCAGTCCAATAGAGAGAGACAGAGACAATCCCACAACGGCATCCAGGTCGAGACCCATGAGGCTAAACCCCAGCTGCCTCACTCACTCGCAAACCAGAACAAAGTTCCGGGTCGGGTCGCCGAACCACATGGGGTACTGAACGCGCCCTTGGTACTGCACCACTCGTCTCTTATGCGCCACCGCCGCCCACACCCCAACCTGCTTCGCCGTCCACCCCGCCGCCTCCTCTGGGCCAAACAGCACCGCGGGGCTGCTCTCGTTGGTCACATCAACGAGGTAGGTGCGCAGCTGGAGGTCTTTGAGTTGCTGGAAGTTGGGCGCGAGGCGCAGCGTGTGGAAGTTGTAGGCCGCCACGAAGAACCCGTGCGGGTGCGAGCTGGCGTCGAGAGCGTCGGGCTCGAAGCTGCGTGGCTCCGACAGGTCGATTGCAGTGTGCGTGGCGTTGGGGGTCGCTGTTCCTGTGGCGGTGGCAGCGGGTGGGGCAGTGCTCTTCCTGCTGTTGGCACTGCGGGCACCGGAGCCAGCAGCACCAGGTAAGTGCACGAAGGAGTGGCCGTGGTGGTGGCTGCTGTACACCGGGAAAGCCTGGCCCAGCAGGTGGAAAGGGGCGGTGGGCAATGCGAAGGGGGCGGACATGGCACCGCTGTGGCCCGTGTCGGCAGCTCGGATCATGGCTGTGAATATGGGGTCTGGGGCACGGGCGTGGGGCGAGAGAGGGGGGAGTGGCAGGGGTGAGGGGAACTGAGAGGGGCAAGGCGAAGGGTACTGCAGACATGGCGCCGCTGCAACCCGTGTTGGCAGCTCGAATCATGGCTGAGAATGTGGGGTCTGGGGCACCGGCAAGGGGAAAGAGGTGGAGAGAGGAGGTCTGCTTGTGTTGAAAAGACACTTGAGTTTTCCTGAAACAAACCATGGAGGCGGCAGAAAAGCACCTGAGAGCTCACCTGGCTCACCTGAGAGCTCACCTGAGAGCTCACCTGAGAGCTCACCTGAGAGCTCACCTGAGCTCATTTGAGAGCTCACCTGAGAGCTCACCTGAGAGCTCACCTGAGAGCTCACCTGAGAGCTCATTTGAGAGCTCACCTGAGAGCTCATTTGAGAGCTCGCCTGAGCACAAACCTGAAGCAGCAGAGGGTAGATAAGTGCCATGGGGACAATCCTGAGGAACCACCTGAGCCCGCCTGAGAGCGGGTCTGCGCCGGCAGCAGTGCGATCTTTTTTTAGAATGATGAAAAATGAGTCCACTGGGGACAATCCTGAGGAACCACCTGAGCCCACCTGAAAGCAGGTCTGCGCCGGCAACAGTGCGATTGCGCGGCGGGCGGCGCATGCTCTGCCCCTCGTTGGTGTTGCCGAGCAGCAGCGGCACGTAGAGCGGCAGATTGGGCGGGCGGCAGGCGAAGCTCTCACTGACTGCGATCAGACAGCCTTTAAGGCGCTCCTCCACGTGCCGCCGTAGGGCTGAGCTGTTGACACGCAGAGCATAGCCCACGACTGGGGAGGGGGGGAAAAGGGGACGGAAGGGGAATGGGGACGGAAGGGGAATGGGGACGGAAGGGGAATGGGGACGGAAGGGGAATGGGGACGGAAGGGGAATGGGGACGGAAAAGAAGGAGGGACAAGGAGTGCGATGAGGCAGCCCTTGAGGCGCCCTCCACCTGCTGCCTTAGCGCCGTGCTGTTGCTGCACAGAGCATAGCCCACGACTGGATGGGTGGGGGGGGATGGGGAGGGGGTTGTGCAGTTAGGAGGAGGGCTTTGACGTGTGCCGAAACGTCCCTCCACCTTCTGCCGTAGGGCCGTGCTGCTGGTGCGTAGGGGCATAGCTGGCAAGTGGAGGAGGACGAGGGGAAACGGGGCGTGTGTTGAGCGCTTTGGGACGCCTGAGACTGGCTACTCAAAGGAAGGAGGACTATGACCTATGAGGATTGCTTGTTACTCACAGGCGGCCGTGGGGCCAATGCTGGACTCACAGGGCATTTCATTTCGGACTCACATGTGGCCATGGGGCGGGCGTGGAGGGCGGAGGAGCTGAACTTGAGGAACTTGGTGGGGCTGAAGAAGCTCTCGGGGCTGGGGGGGAGGGGGAGAGGAGGAAGAAGGAGGGGGGAGGGGGAGGGGGGGGGGGGGGGGGGTGGGGTAAGTGGGGGGTAAGTGGGACGCAGAGAGGGAGGAGCTGAACTTGAGGAACTTGGTGGGGCTGACGAAGCTCTCGGGCTGGGGGGGGAGGGGGAGGGGGGAGAGAAATGGGAAAAGGGGGGGGGGGGGAGGAGGGGGAGGGGGGGGAGCATGGGGGGGACGAGGAGACAGGAGGTAGGAGCGGAAGAAGCGAGGCGGAAAGGAAAGGAATGGATGTCTGTCACCAAGGTTTGTGTAGCAGGAGGACCAGGGAACCTCCACACGTACCCATCGAAGTAGTACGCGTGGATGAACTCGGCGAGCACGCGCGTGCTGGCCTGAGTGGAGTTGAAGTGCGTCATGTGATGGGAGGGGCCTGGAAGCACATCGGGCGCCGAGGCGGAGCTGTATCTAGCAGCAGGGGAACAACGAAACCACCACACCACGCCACACCACACCACACCACACCACACCACACCACACCACACCCACCCACCCGTCGATGTAGTACGCGTGGATGAACTCGGCGAGCGCGCGCGTGTTGGCCTGCGTGGAGTTGAAGTGCGACTCGATGAACGCCGCCCACTCCCCGCACTGCCCCTCGCGCTCCGCCTGCTGCTCGCCCGCCGCGCGCGTCCAGACAAGAGTGAAAATCACCGCCAGCACGCCCAGGCTCATCACCGCCCATATCCAGCACACGCGCTGGGAGAGGGAGGGTGGAAGTGCAGGGGGTCGAGGACATTAAGTGCTGCTCGCTGGCGGCGCGCATTAGACGAGCGTGAGAATGAGTTGGTTTCTTTTTTAACCCAAATACCTACTCATTACAGACGAGCTTTGAGGCGCCTCAAAAGTAGACTTCTAAGGGCGTGGTACATAGGAGTTCGAGCAGCCTCCGTCGGAACTTCCACCACTGTACCACTCGATTATCTAACTGAAAAAACGCAAAAACTGTTATTAAAGCCACTGTAACCCTCACCTCCGTTCGGACTCAGCAAAGCTCGAACGCTTATGTACCACAACCTAACAACACAGACGAGCGTGAGAATGACCGCCGCCGGCAGACTCTGCGCGTCAGACGCGCTGGGCGCCTAAATCCAACCGACGTGCTGTGAGATGGTCAGAAGCCATAGAACGCGCCACTGATCACCGCCACTCGTGGCGGCAATGCGAGGGAACGAATACGCGTTCATCCGATGATTTTTTGGCGCCTCAAAAACACGAATTTCCAGGCGCTTAAAAAATCAGTCTCGTTTTGAGGCGCTTCAAACACCGGCACTTATCACGGCGAAGCGAGGGAATGAAAAACGCGCGCGTCCGATGCATGCGCGCGTCCGGAGCCCTGACAGCCCAGATTCAACACATTCCGCGGTGAGAGACGCGGAGAGCAAGCTATGCGACGGCGCGACCGAGAGGAAAAATACCCTCTTCATAATAATTAAATGAATAAACAGGAGTAAGAATTGTGTTTCTAAATAGGAGTAAGAAATGTGTTTGAACGCACCAGGCGCCACGCGTGCGTGAGAGCGCGCAGCGGCCAGGAGAGAAACGACTCGACGGCAGAAACCCACGACTCCCTCCGGCTCTTCCTTAACTCCGCATCCCCCTCCTCCTCCTTCTCCTCTTCCTCCCCTCCTTCCCATTGGACATTCGGTTTCCTTCGCGCCGCTTCCCTCTTGATCAATCCCGTCCCCTCCTCGCCTTCGCCCAGAATATTCTCGCCGGTTCTCAAGCCGTCGTCGCTGGATCTGGATCCTTCGCTACTTTCACTATCACCCTCGTCGTAAGCACGCGATGCCTTCCCGCCGCGTCGCCTAGCCGTTTTCCGCCATAAACGCGGAATGCCTCGCCAGGCGCTCCTACTCTTCTGACGGCCTGCGTATGATCCTAATTCGTGCGCCTCGGAGCAGTCCGCGTCGTTCTTTTCTAATAGCTTCCGGTCTAGCCATGGATCGGAAGGCTCTTGGTTACTTTTGCCGCCATCTCGTCGCGCCGGGTCAGCGGCGGCGAATTCGCAACCGTCAGATGCTCCCAAGCTCGCGACAGCACAGCTGCTGCTGCCGTCGCTACTGCCGGCGAAGCCCTTCCGGTCGTCTACGTTACCGGCGGCGACCGCTTGGCTTCGCGTCATGTAATCCTGCTGACGCGTCGAGCGGACGGAGTTGCTTGCGCTGAGATGCTCAGACACGTCGGGGGAGGATTCCGCGGAAGACACAGCGAATACACCGTTTCGCGCCATTAGGGAAACTTAGAGAACATCCTTAGGTTTATAATTCTCCTAACGACTCTGGCTCCCGATCGGAGTGTAACAGGCGACAGGGGAACTGACGTTCTGCCTAGAGCCTATGTTAGTGCAGCCGCCTAGAATATCGGAGAAATGTAGAGATGGAGAAATGGATAGATGACATAGCTGGTTATGTCCCCTGGCACGACTCCACTGATGATACGGAATAAGCGGGACGAAATATATTCTTGAGAGACTTGTGAGGGGATGGTTGCAGGGGGTATGCTGTAGCACTGCAATTCCAGCGTGAGGGACTGATTGCGGTTGGGTAAGTCTCTCTGCGATTCAGGAGGTACTTATAGCGTTGTGAGATGGTTGGGCAGGGTATTGAGTGAGACACGTACACGCGGGGCGCTGAGAATACTGGTGTAACAGTGTTTTTTGCTTCAGAAGTGAGAGCAAGAACAGACACAGAGCAAAAGCGAGAAGATCCCCCAACGGTCTGGACTTTCTGAGCAAGCGAGGGATAGAGGAGGAGAAGATCACCACGCGCACTTACTCACACGCGTAGAGGTCCAGCGCAAGCAAGTGGCGAACATTGGATTCTGGGACGGGCACCATCAGAGCGCATGTGTTTTTTGGCGCGCATTCATTGCTCAGCTTCAGATTTGAACGTCCTTTCGTAAAAGTAGAAAGCCGTCGGAGGCATCAAGGGAACAGAAAAGCTCTGTTGCTTTGGCTAGAGCCTAGACCTACGTCTAGGGCGTTATTTTTTTTCCTCCAGTAAGGATGGCCACGCAATCATCATGTTGTAACAATTATAAAGGCAGATAAAGTAGCATGCTTGGTACAGTGTTTCGAGGCTTTATTTTCCCATCAGCTGCCTGCAGCCTTGCCTCATGGTGTGGGTAGTTGGTTGTTTGTGATGGTCCCTTCGAATGCAGTCCCCGAGCCGTGACGCAGTGGCACAATGCATCAGCAACAGCGTCCCCTCTTCATCACACCGGCTCCCTCCCTCCCCTCCTCCCTTCCTCCCCGCATCCCCTCCTCCCCTCCCACCCCATCCCCTCCCCCCCACCCTGGTGCTCCCGCTCCCCCCCCACCTCACCCATCAATGAGCCGCTCCGCCCGAACATTTTCCTCCCACAAATATCACATGCCCCGAGTAATTGCTTGCCATGTCAACCTGGAAAGGGCCTGCGCCAAGTCAGCAGCGCAGAGAGTTTCCTAGGTACGTGTGCCACAATTCCCGTTATGCTCAGGTGACGTCTCATGTCAAGCCCAATTACACGCATAAATACGAGATATCCATACGGTACATCTCAATGTTGGGATGCCACGTATTTTATCCAATTCACAAACTTCAACACACGTGCTATAGTTGACACTATATAACCCTTGCAAGTATTCGGCGAGTAACCTAACAATGGTCTATTTGCATGGTGTGGTGTCAATTTTGGTCCTACCGTAAAAGTCTGGATATAGGACCCTCCCAAGTAACAGAAGATCATGGGTCTTCTATTAGGCGCTTATCTTGTGGTTGTTAGAATACTAAAATGATAGAAACATGGGAGTACAAGGAAGATAAAGGATAGGAGTTGTACTCTCTAAGAACATAATCCCATCTATTCTATAACTTTTGCGTATAAAAATTTGTAAAATTTTACACACCCCCTAGGCTAGATAAGGGGCAGTGGAGCGCAAGGAACACGCAGCTCAGGGTGGCACTACAAGTCCAACCGTTGAGGCAGGGGTCCGGAGACCAGTCAGCAAGAGTACAACAGGACAAGAACACACCAAGGCGGCACTACTAATCCAGCCACTGGAAGAGAAGCCACAAGGCATCTGGGTCACCCTCAGGGACTAGCAGCATGGAGCAAAGATGGGGAGCAGCCTCGGACATGAAAGCAAGCTCATACTGCCTGTCCTCTAGGATGTCACTGCCAAGGGCACGAGCACCCCCGACGGATGGAGGACGGACAGGGTCAGAGACCAGAGCGGTGGCGTAGTCAAGGCGGCGGGTAGAGGCAAAGTCAGCGACAGCAGCGACAAGAGCGTCAAGACTCGAGACAGGAACAGACGGGTCGGTAACGAGAGAGGCAAGGACATGAGAAACAAGAGGACGAGCAGCACGAAGGTTGTGAGACAGAAAGGGAGGCGCGACAGCGAGCGATGGCGGAGGATGCGAAGGCAGGAGAAGAGGACGAGACGCGTAGGAAACATAGGACTATGGACAGGAAGTGGAAGAGGCGGTGGGGGAGGCACAGGCGAGTGGTCGGGGGAGGGAAGGCCGAGCAAGCGAAGGGCGAACACCGGCGGCGACTGTTGCTGCTGCTCGACACCGACACCTTGGCTACCAGCTGAACAACGGCTAACTCCAGAACACTCAACTCAAGCACCCCCAGAGCGAGCACCCCCAGAGCGAGAAACCTCTTCAGCACCGGTGCCACCCTCGAGCCCGCCGGGACAAGCTACGACAGGAACCCCAGAACTAGCACCCTCCTCAACGCCAGCACCCCCAGAGTCCATGAACGGCTGCTGCTGCTGCGACGGTGGCGGCCGGTGAGGCGGCTGCTGCAGCGGCAGCTGCTGCGGTGGCGACGGCGGAGGAGGAGACACCAGGGGAGGGAGAGGCGGCAAGAAGTGCACCACTGGGCCACCAGTGTCAGCGACTCCTCGACCGGGACAACCAACGGGAGGGGAGTGACGTGAATCACTGTAGGTATGAGCCACCTCCATGACCAAGCCGATGCGTCGCTCAGCGACCCCATTCAGCTGCGGGGAGTCCGGTAGGGTGTACGACTGGGTGATGCCCTCCGCACGACAGAAGTGTCCAAGCCGACCAGAGGCGAACTCGCCGCCACTGTCAGAGTGAAGACACAGCAAAGGGAGACCACAGTGGAGGCGCGCAGCCACGACCCACGGGATAAGAACGTCAGGCACGTCGGCCTTCCGCCCCAGGGGAAACATCGTGGTGCAGCGCGTGTAGTCGTACACGAGCACTAGAAAGTAGCGCTCGCAACGCGGTACGGGGACGGGGGCTGGGCCTCAGACGTCCAGGTGCAGGGTCTGGAGGGGAGCGATGACGGGACGAAGAGAGGAAGAGTAAGGAGCACGGTGCAGCCGGCCCTCGACGCAGGGCGTGCACGACGGCGCAGGCGAGGGAGGGAGGGTAGGAAGCGAAGCAGGGAGACTTAGGACGAGACCATGCTAAGACATGTGACGCAGACACGGGAGTGCGGGGTGACCTAGGCGGTGGTGCCACAGAAGCGATGGGTGAGTGAGCGACCGAAACGAGCAAGTCGCAACGACCTAGGTAGACGTGCCAACCGGGGGGGGGGGGGCAGTGTCCAGCGTAAAGAGGCCAGACTTTGGGTCCCGGGGGAACGTCGCAAGGGGGGAACTTGAGGCGGCCTTGGTACAAACATCGTACCGCTCGTGACCAGGAAACGTAGTGGTGACGCCAAGGTCCTGAAGACAGCCAACACCAACTAAGTTCCTAGAGAACGAAGGGATGTGCAGGCCTGTAAGGGAGCCCGAGGGGACTGCTGGACAGAGAAGGGTAGTGTAGCTGCGAGCATCTACAGGACCAGAGGAGGGGTCAGCAAGTGCGACACCGGCAGGCTCGACAAGCGGCGTAAGCGCAGCGTGGTCGCGGAAGAAGCAGGCAGACGCACCAGAGTCGAGTGTGAAGGGCAGCGAAGCAGAAGCAGCAGACGAAGAAGAAGTGAGTGCGAAGCCTAGACTAGACAAAGCAAAAGGTCCTACGACTGACGCAGCAGGGGTGTCTGTACTACACACAGGTGCTATGCCTAAGCTAGAGAACACATGGTAATAAGATCCGGACACACTAGAAGCGTCAGAATACAGAGAATGCAAGGCAGAACTAATCTGATCTATGTCTAAGTCAAATACAGGCACACGCAGGCGCAGCAGACTGGGCCAGTTAGGGAGGTCCGGGGCCGGGCCAAAGCAGCGACGAAAGAGGTCGTTGAGGTGGCGGAAGCAGCGGGCGGTCGGGTGCGGGCGGCGGCACACAGTGCCACGGAGGGGCCCGGTTTGGAGCTGAAACTGGCAGCCCACTATACCGAAGCTGCAGGTAGACGCCGAGCTGCGAGGACCGCCACCTCGGCCACCACCTCCAGAGGCTTTTGGCCACCGCGGCGGGAGGCGGGCCCACGGCTGTTGCTGCTACGGCTGCTGCTGCGGCTGCTGCGGCTCTTGGACACCTGCCCCAGCCCCCTCGTCAGAACCACTGTCGCCGCCACCACCACCACCACGCCTTCCCTTGGGGCGGCGACGGCCCCGACGCTAGCGCTGCTGCTGCGGGAAGGCCGCCGCTGCGGTCTCAGTGGCAGGAGCAGCCGTAGCGACCGCAACAGAAACGTTCGCATACGTGCACTGGGAGGGAGCACAGCCTTAAAAGATAGGTACTGCCGCATTACCACTCGACTGAGCGATAGTGCGCTGGCGAGTCTCTACCTCAGAAAGGGCAGCGACAAAAGCGATCAGGGTGAGGTCACCAGGGTGCTGTGTAAGGAAGTGGTCGCGGGCAATGGTTAAGCGGTCAGGCAGGCGCATGGCAATGAGGTACAGGATAGCGCTGAATGGCGGGGGGAAAGCAGTGAGCTGGGCAGTAGTGCTAGCAGCGCGGTAGCTAGTCTCTAGTGCACGGAGGTGAGTGGCGAGATCAACAACAGTGGGGAAAGCAGAGAGATTGGGGAAGAGCATGGGGAGGATCAAGCGGCCAACTGAGGCGTAGGCAGGCGTGGAGTAGCGTGCAGCTACTACATCTAGGAAGTCTTTAGCGTTCGCGACAGCAGTGAAATGCGGACGCGCAGAAAGGGGAAGCGCATGACTAATGGCAAGCTGCGCTACAGCATCGCGAGAATCCCAGACGGCGCGAGCGAGTGCAGCAGCAGCAAAGGCCTCACTCTCAGCAGTGGTGGGGTCAGCAGGGAGGGTGTCACAGGATCGAATGTGTCGAGGAAAGGTTGCTCAATGTTGCACTATCAATCAGTACAAGGTGCTTTTATACTTCCAGAATACATCAGGTAACCAGGTTTATCCTATCCAAAGGGAATAGACCCTTCTAGAAATAGAATCACCCTGCGTATAGCCACGCGAGGCTATTGGCTTTAAGGGATTACGGCAGGATTACGCTAGATATAGCGCGCCAGTACATCCCGAGCCTGGTCGGTGATATAATCATAATAATAGGATAAACCAAAGGATAATGGAAAAGGAGGAATAGGAAACCAAATGAGATGAGATAAAGACCAAATGAATGAGGATAAAAAGAGGAATGAAATAGAAAGG